AAACTCTTGGCCCTCTCTCCCGCCCCCCTCTTTTTTTTTTTTTTTAAAGATTTATTTATTAAAAAAAAATTTAGTGTGTATGGATGTTTTGCCAACATGTATGTATGTGCACTATGTGCATGCCTGGTGCCTTTGGAGACCAAAATAGGGTGTTAGATTCTCTGGAACTGGAGTTACTGTTGTGAGCCACTATGTGGGTGCTAGGAACTGAACCCAGGTCTTCTGTAAGAGCAGCATTTGCTTTTAACCACTGAGTAATCTCCAGCCCCTCACCTTCAATTTTTAGCACTGATTGGCCTAGAACTTGCTATGTAGACAAGGTCAGCTTGCCTGTTCTGCTTCTGGAGTACTGGGATTTTTTTTTTTCTTTTGAGGTCTTCCTGTGTTGCCTAGGCTAGCCTTAAACCCCCCACCCCATAGGTGCATGCCATTCCATGTTGCAGAAGCAGTGGGGTCTTTTTGGTTGTTTTTTTCTCCCCTCTGATATAAAGAAACAAGTTTGTTAGTTGCAAAAAACTGGAAATGTGAAAATAATGTGACTTACTATTGTTGAACTGAAAATTAGAAAAAAAGTCATTATAAAGTTCCTGGTTTTGGGTTGGTGAGATGGCTCAGGGGGTTAAAAGTGTTTTCTGTCAAACCTGATGACCTGAGTGTGATTCTTGGGATCTATATGGTGGAAGGAGAGAACCAGCTCCCACAAGTCCTCTGACCTTCATGTGGGTGTCATGGCATTAACGTGCATGCACATGTACACACAATATATTAAAAATTTTTTTAAAAAGTTTCACGTTCTGATTAAGCAAAGGCTTAATACAATTCTGCTGTAAATACTTAAATCGTATGAAGACATAGCAACACTTAATACTTTTCACCAGTTTTGTCTTCACCCCAAATTCTCTTCCAGACTCAACAATATAAAGAAAATGGGATATATGTTTTTTATCCCCATAGTCAGCCTGTTGGCTCTCTTTACTTCTCACCTGCCCATCCAGCCCACCTACTGTCACTGAGCTATGACGGCACTTTACGGTGTGGGGACTTTTCCAGTGCTGTTTTTGAAGAGGTAAATGTTAATGTGTTTACAATCTGACATCAGATGATATCCTGGATTCTTTATTAAATGTCACATGAGTGATTATTTTATCAGTCAGATTGAGAGAAATGTGGTACAGGTTAGGGACTAAGTTCAAGCTTCAGACCAATTATTACTAGTTGTGTCATCTTTATAAGTAAGTACACCCATGTCATGCAATGCCCACAGAGGCCAGAATAGGGCATTGTATCTCCAGAACTGGAGTTACAGATTGTTGTTAGCTGTAATGTGGGTGATGGGAACTAAACTCAGGTCCTCTGCAAGAGCAGCCAGTGCTATTAACTGCTGAGCCATCTCTCTAGCCCCCACAAACAAGTTTTATTTAAATAATGTTACTTTTCTGTTTTTAGGCTTAAGCCTTGTACATAGTCATTTGAGGAAAAATACTGGGATATTATATTTATGTTCATAGACATTCATCATGTAATATATACTTGAAACATTTAGTCTGTACCATAACACATAAGCACATAAGCTACAAAATGTGGTTAATCACTCCATAGTCTTCCAGCTAAGAGCTAAGATTTCATTTCAACAACTTCTCTTCCTCTCCCCTTCCTCCTCCTCTTCCTCTTCTTCCTCTCCTTCCTCTCCTCCCTCCTCTTCTTCCTCCTCCTCTTTCTTCATTGTTGTCATCTTCATCATCTTCGTCTTCATCTTTGTCTTTTTGAGACAGGGTTTCCCTATAGCCACAGGGCCTAGAACTTACTATGTAGACCAGAAACTGCTTCTACTTCTTGAGTGCTGGGATTAAAGGCATGTGCCATCACACCTGGCTATTACTTTTTTTTTTGTCTTTTTGAGACAGGGTCTCCCTGTAGCCCCAGCTGGCCTGGAACTCACTATGTAGACCAGGCTGGGCTTGAACTCACAGAGATCCACCTGCCTCTGCCTCCCGAGTGCTGGGATTAAAGGCGTGCATGAGCACGCCCGCCTGCTAATTACTTTTTTGATGCTAGAGATTGAACCCAGTGCCAATGACTATGTTAGACAAGTGATCTACCGCTGATATCCCAAATTTATTAAAAAAAATTTATTTAGAAAGTCTCATATATCCTAGCCAGTCTCTATTTCCCTATGTATCCAAGGATAATCTTAAATTTCTGGTTCTCCTGCCTCCTTCCCCTGAATGCTGTGATTGTATAGATGTGCATCATGATGCCTGGTTTATGCAATGCTTGGGATGGAGCTCAGGGATTTGGTCATCTCAGGCAAACACTGCCAATTGAATTAATGTCCCACTCCCACTACCTCCCATCCCCCCACCCCCCAGCCCAGTTTTAACACATGATGTTTGTGAAGAGATTAGTTTAGTTGTTTGGATCTGTTGAAGTTAGAATTGACAGTAGATATTCATGGTCATGTGTACTCTGGAAAGAAACAGATACCCAAGGAGGTTTATTTGGAATATCTTGGGCTCAGTTTGTGAACATCTTTTGAGGATAAGGCCTTTTCCTGTACTATTTAGCCCATGCTAGTCAGATTAAGTTTATTCCTCTCTGAGAATAGCTGAAGTGTGGGGGTTTAGCTCGGTGGTATAGTGCTTGCCTAAAAGCAGCTCTGTGTTCAATCTCCAACACTGTAAAAAAGAGGAGGAGGAGGAGGAAGAAGAGGAAGAAGAGAAATAGTTGTGTGGAGTTTTTCTAATCCATTTAGCCTCTGGTGGGACAGAGACTTTGGATCCTATTGCTTATAGTTTACCACTAAAATATCTACTATTTAATAGTATCATCTGAGGGAAACTTTTAAAATACCAATTATAATTTTTTTGAGACTTAGAATGGTTTAGACAAATGAAACTTTTTTGAGAGGTCCTTAGTGAAAGAGCAACTTGTAGGAACTAGGGGGATGGCTCAGTGGTAAAATACTAGGACTCGAGTTTGAATTCCTAGCACCCACCCAACTTGTGTGGCTAGTACTTTTGCCAGCTGAGCTGTCTCCTCAGCCTCAGTGTCTTTAAGCTTACTGTATTTATATCCCTAGGTATATAGAAATGAAAGAAGTAGCTTTTCCTCCTTTGACTTCTTGACAGAAGATGGTTCCACTTTACTAGTGGGACACTGGGATGGACATTTGTCACTGGTCGATAGACGAACACCTGGAAATTCTTATGAGAATATTTTTAATTCTTCTATGAAAAAAATAAGAACTGTTCACGTCCACCCCATGCTCAGACAGTATTTCATCACTGCAGGATTGAGGTATGCCTTTATTTTCTTCTTACAGTTTTTTGGTTGTTCCACTTGGTACCCCGCCTGGCATGAAACTCACCTTGTAGGCCAAGCTGGTTTGATCCTCCTGCCTCAGCTTTCCAAGGGCTGGGATTATAAGTGTGTGCCAACATGCCCAGATTGAGGTATGTTCTTCCAAAAATTTTATAGTTGAGTTCTTTTCATGTCATGGATATATGGTTTAATTTGGTTTCTCAGACTTTTGTGATACACAAAGGCCAAATTTTCATTCCCACACAGATAGGAATTTTAATGAGGAATTGTTTCAGATTTAATAAATAGTGAAACTATTGAAAGAATGCACATTATTTTCCTTGGTATTATATGCATTTACTTCTTTTATAAGAAGAAACTTTTAAATTGTAATAGAGGAGCTGGAGACATGGCTCAGCAGTTAAAAGCACTGACCACTCCTGGCAGAAGACCAGGGTTCAGTTCCCAGCACCCAGCTAACAGCTATCTGTAACTCTAGTTCCAGGAAATTGAACACTCTTTTCTGACTTCTGCTGGCATTGCATGACACAGGTGCATTTACATACATGCAGACAATACACTCATACACATAAAATAAAAATAATAAAATACTTAAAAATGTTTTTGCATGTAGCAAGTATGAGAGTCTACCTTGTGTTTGGCCGTTTCATAGGCTCACTGCATGCACTGACAATTTCTTCCTCATTGCAGGGATGTTCACATTTATGATGCCAGACACTTGAATTCCAGGGGAAGCCAGCCTTTGATTTCTTTGACTGAACATACAAAGAGCATTGCTTCAGCCTATTTTTCACCTGTTACTGGTAACAGAGTGGTCACCACATGTGCTGACTGTAAGCTGAGGTAAACTAAGACAGAAAGGTGGTTTTAGGAGAATCTAAATTTAGAGTCTGCAGCTACTTTGTCAGTTAACTAAATATTTTGTTTACTACTGTTCCTACTGAATCACTAGTGTTGCTGTTTTGTAGTCAGATCTAGGGTCCTAAAAACCAGTTGCCTAAACTTAATGGCATCTCAGCAGTTTTGGGATTCTGGGGAGTTCTTGAGATTGGAAAAGATTATAGCTATTCTGGGGAGTTGATGGTCAAGATTTCATTTCAGTAGTGAAGGAGCCCTGAAATCCCAGTAGTGTCTGGGAAAGGAGATAATTTGAAGAAGAATCTCTCTCCTTCTTTCTCCCCCTCCCCCTTCCCTACCTCTTTTTCTATCCCTCCCCTCTTTTTTTCCCCCTTTCTCCCCCCTACTTCTTTGAGACAGGGTCTCATTGTGTATCCCAGGTTGGTCTTGAACTTGTGATCCTCCTGTCTCAGCCAATCTAGTGCTGGATTGTAGGGATGTACCAGGTGGGAGAAGCCCTTTGGGGAAAGTGGAGTTTACCCTAAAAGTAAATTGAATGGAAGTTGCTAGGCTGCTGACTTCAAGCAGAAAACAGCAAAAATTAGGCTTCTGCACAAACTAGTTGGTATGAGTCTAAGGCTTAAGCTTTGGTATCTTTCTGTAGCTACTTCCTAAACACTGATTTAAAAATCAGTTGTACTGGGGTTGGGGATTTAGCTCAGTGGTAGAGCGCTTGCTAGGCAAGCCCTGGGTTCGATCCTCAGTTCTGAAAAAAAAAAAAGACAAAAATCAGTTGTATTAAAAATCAGAAAATGCTGTCAATTTGAAAAGATGTGGAGAAGCCTGCAGTCCTGATTTTTTGCAATTGATGCAGGGGGAATCCCTTGAGACCAGCTGGTCAGCATAGCAAGACTCATATATCTCTAGGGAAAAAGAAATATGTGAAGACTGTTACTGCAACTACAGGGGAAAATGATTTTGTTCTCTAGAAGAGTGCCTGATTTTGTTTAGAATTGCCAGGTTTTTTTTTTTTTTTTGAGAATTGGAATTCATTCATTCAATGAAAACCTACTGAATGTATACTGTAACTCTGGTTCTTGATGCACCTAATTTCTACTTGAACTCATGTGTGGGCAAATACATGGTCTGTGGGTGTGGCAGGTGTCTACTTAGTTTCTAACAAAGTCTGTGAGCAATACTAGGAGATGAAGTAAGAGTTTTTCATGAGGGAATGGCAGCCTTGTATACCCTTTCCACTCAGGTAGCTTCCTATCTTAAGAATACCTATTTATTACATTTTACTCACTTATACTCTATAGTGTGTGCTTACTACATTAACCATTAGTAATTTAATTTCCTAGTAATCCAACTAGGTAAGAAGCTGTAGTGCCAAGAGGTTGCACTGGATCACCTAGGCACAGGAGAAAGGGAGGCAGTGATGAGGTTGGTTTCCTTCTATGGTGGTACCAGTAGAGGTTTTTGGACTTTTCTACTTGTGTGCTTACCAGTCTTAGTCTCTTCAGCATCTTGGAAATGACACTCTCAGGCTATCAGTGGAAGAGTCAGAAGGAAATTGCTTTCGTACATGAGTGAACTTTAGATCTTTTGTGCATTTTTATACCATAGCCCTTATGTATATCACATATTGTTAACTTAAATACAGTTTTAGATGCCAGATTATCACTTTAGGATGTGCATATTAAGCTAATGTGGTGGTGCCTGACCATAATCCCTGCACTCAGGAGGCTGAGGCACGATTGCTGGTTCTAGGCCAGCCTAGCATATATAGTGAGATATTGTTCCAAAAGTATAAAATTGAGCCGAGCGAGGTGGTGCATGCCTTTAATCCCAGCACTCAAGAGGCAAAAGCAGGCAGATCTCTGTGAGTTCAAGGCCAGCCTGGTCTACATGGTGAATTCCAGGCCAGCTGGGGCTATAGGGAGACCCTGTCTCAAAGAAGAACAGAGAAACAAAAAAGCTCCCAACCAAACAAAAAAGCACAAAATTTAGAGCAACAGTGTTTAAATATGTCCACACTAAGCTATAATATGGACTGGATTTTTAAATATTCCTTGTAACTTTTTGTAGGAATTACTTTTATAAAATGGACAGAATCTAGACTAATGACTTTTAATTAGCCTTACAACTAAAAAACGGCTGCAAACAAACTCAGTGAGCCATGTGCTCTTATAACCTGGGCACCTAACCTTGATACCTGGGAACCTCAGTTTGCTGCCCCACCCAAAGATAGTGAACAAAAGTAGGTGTGCTTGAGAATTAACAACTCAAAGTGCTGAAAGGTAGTGCATCTTCATTGAAAACATTGAAGACTGAGAAGAATGTTTGACATTGTGTATATAAGATGTTTCAGGCCTAGTAACAAAAGGGCAAAATTGTCTAAGAAAATGGTAGACCCAAGCTTGTGGTTCCTCAGAATTGATGCTGTAGAAACAGATTTGATTAAAGTATGATGAAGTACTCAGCAGCACACTTCCAGGAGACATCTGGGGGAATGGGTACCCTCTGAGTTTGTGCCCACTTTTGTAACTAAAGAGTCAGGTTGTTTATTCAGGTAAACTAATGTGGCATGGTAATGCCACACCTTTTGTTAAAGATGGCATCTGAGGTTAGAAACTGATTCATCACATAACAATTATATTTCTTACTATGAGCCCATGACTATCTTTTTTTTTTTTTGAGACAGGGTTTCCTGTAGCCACAGCTGGCCTGGAACTTGCTATGAAGACCAGGCTGGCCTCAAACTCAGAGATCTGCCTGCCTCTCCCTCCTAAGTGTTGGGATTAAAGGTGTGTGCCACCATGCCTGGCAAGCTAATCATCTTAAACATACTAATAATTGTTTCAGAAAAAACTGGAGGATGAATTATAGACTTTGTAACTGTGTTCTCAATCTTTATTTTGCAGAGTCTTTGACAGCAGTTGTATATCCTCCCAGATTCCTCTCCTCACTACCATCAGGTAGGACTCCATATACCAAATAACCTGGGTCCCTGATTGCTATGGATAGTAGCAGTATTTGGAAGGCATATGTTAGGCAAGCTTGTCAAGGGGAGATAGTGGTCCTAGTTTCTCTACTGTCTTGTGTCAGTGCCCCAGCTTTCTAGTATCTGTGCAGATGAGCTCTTGCTTTCAGGTTTTCAGTATCTGTAAAGATGTTCAATCTCTTTTAGCCAGTACCTGTTCTCTGCAGGTAAAGGGCTTTTTTGGTTAAGATTAATGATGTCATTGTGACGCGAGAAACCCTGGCTACTTGTTAATAAGGTTGTTGGGAGCTCAAATTGTGTCTGTTTATTCTGGGCTTAGGTGTCTTCCCTACTTTTCTATTTCCTGTTTTTGATTGCCCTCTTGAATCTGCTGCCTTGAATATGTTTTATATATAAAACTTTACTCCAAGCCATACCTTTAATCTCAGCCTCAGGAGCCAGAGGCAGGTAGATATCTGTGAGGTTGTAGCCCATCTGGTCTACATGGTAAATTCTAGGCCAGCTGGGGATATAGGGAGACCCTGTCTCAAAAAGACCAAAACCAGAATATCCCCGCCCCCCAAAAAAACCCAGCAACAAAAAACCTGAGCAATTGCAAATAAATAATTTAGTGATATCCCTCAAAGTTCTAGAAAAACAGGCAAAAAAGTAATAAAGCTTAGGGCAGAAATTCAAGAAATAAAGACATAGAACAATGCATAGAATCGAAGAGTTGTTTTTTTTAAAAAAAAGATGAGCAAGATTGATAAACTGCTAGTCAAAATAAGACCCAAATTAATAAAATTGAAGCTGAAAAGGGAGTTTTCTTAATAGATTCCAAATAAGTCCAAAAGATCATTAGGGAATACTTTGAAAACCTGTATTTCAAAGGGTTAGAAAACTTAGAAGAAATGCATGAAATTCTAAATGCATATGGCCTTCCAAAATTAAAGTCAGAAGACATAACAATTACATAGATTCATAACAAGCAGTGAGATTGAAACAGTAATTAAAAGTCTTCCCACAAAGAAAAGCTCAGAACTATAGGGATTCACAGCTGAATTCTACCAACTCTTTTGTTTTGTGTTGAGACATGGTCTCCTTATAGCTGCAACTCTACAGGATATCATTATCTAGACCAGGCTGGCTACCGTCACAGAGATCTATCTGCCTCTGCCTCCTGAGGCTGAGATTAAAGGTGTGTGCCACCACACCTGGCCTTGGTTTATCTTCTCTTTTTTTATTAATTTAAAAATTTAAGTTTTATTTTTAGGTGTAGAAGTATTTTGCTCATATATATATATGTGTATATATATGTGTATATATGTGTATATATATATATATATATATATATACACACACATATACCTGGTGTGTTGTATAATGCTCAAGGAGGCCAGAAGAGGGTGACAGAGCTGCCATGTGGGTGCTAGGAACAGAATCCAGGTCCTTTGCAAAAGCAGCATGTCCTCTTAAACACTGAGCCCACTCTCCAGCCCACTAATACATTAATTAAAAACTATGCATATTAATGCTTCGCCTGTATGTATGTTTACCTATTTATGCAATGCCCACTAAGGCCAGAAGAGGGCTTCAGATCTCCTGGAACTGGACTTAGAGTTGTTAGCCACCATGTAGGTGCTGGGAACTGAACCCTGGTCCTTTGAACCCTCTGAGCACCCACATGGCAGCTCACAACCGTCAGCATACATGTGGTCTACATATATACACTCAAGCACACACATTTATACATTAAAAAAAAACCTGAAGAAATCTTTAAAAATTGGGGCTGGAGATGACTCAGCAGTTAAGAGCACTAACTACTCTTCCAGAGGACCCAGGTTCAGTTCCCAGCACCCAATGTCAGCTAACAGCTGTCTGTAGCTCCAGTTCCAGGGGATCCAACACTACCTTCTGACCTCCTCAGGCATTGCATGACATGGGTGCACTTAACTACATGTGGGAAATACACTCATGCACATAAAAATGATAAAATAGTTTAAAAAATTATTTTGTTTATTTTGTGTGTATATGTGTGCATGTGTGTATATGATGTGTGTGTTAAGGTGCATCTTCACATGTGTGAAGGTTAGGAGGTTAGAGAACAACTTTCAGTAGTTGGTTCTCTCCTTCTACCATTGGTTCTGGAGCCAGGCTTGCTCTGTTGGAGCTTTTGCCCACTGAGTCATCTTGATGGCCTGCATTGCGATACTAATTTCTTTTTCTGATAATAACGCTGAGCTTTTTAGGGGTAGGCCACTGGCCTAAAATCTCTTGATTCTTGGTCCTCTTTTTTTTTTTTTTTTTTTTTTTTTTTTTTGAGACAGGATGTCTCTGTAGCCCCAATTGGCCTAAAACTCTCTTCATATACCAGGCTGGACTTGAATTCACAGAGATCTGCCTGCCTCTGCCTCCTGAGTGCTGGAATTAAAGGCATGGGCTACCATGCTCATCTTGATCCTTTTTAAAAACAGTATAGAACAGTTCACAAAAAACTAAAGACACAAAAACTATAAATAAGTATAATCCTCCCCCTCTTTTATTGTTGAGACAGGGTCTCAATATGTGGCCCTAGCTGGCTTGGAACTCACTATGTAGGCCAGGCTAGCCTGGAACTCACAGAGGTCCTCCTCTCTCTGCCTTCTGAGTGCTGGGTTAAAGGTATGGGCTACCATACCCAGTGAATTTGACCATTTTTTGGTTGTTGAAGTTTTCAAATGCCAAAACACACATACATATATATTTGATTTTATGTAGCGTGTGTGTGTGCGTGCGTGTACGTGCGTATGTTTACATGTGCCTTGGCACCTATGTAGAGGTCAGAGAACAACTTTTGAGAGTCAGTTCTCTCCTTCCATTGTAGGTCCAGGGGATTGAATTCAGGTTGTCAGACTTGCATAGCAATCACGTTTACACACTTAGCCATCTCACTGCTGAGTGCCTTGTATGTTTTGATATTATCATTGTCAGATTGTAGATATGTTCTCCCATTCTGTAGGGTCTCTTCATTCTGTTGTCTGCTGATTATTTACTTTGTTGTGAAGACTTTTCGGTTGGTAATCTTATTTGTTCATTTTTTTATTTTGATATCTAACACTTAACTGTATCATGTCTGAAATCAGGAAGTATGAGGTCCCTATTTTTTCTTTTTCCCCAAGATGATTTTTGGTTGTTTGAGCTTCAATATGAAATTTAAGGTTTTTGTTTCTGTTTCTGCAAAAAAGAAAAAAAAAAATCATTGGGATTTCACTGAATTTGTAGATTCCTTTGGGTAGCATGGATATTTTAGCATTATTAAATCTTTTTTTATTCATTTTTATTATGTGCTAAAATAATTTTACTTTTGGCACATGTGCATATCTATAAATGTATTTTGGTAATACGTTAAAATTCTGGTAAATACATACTGCCTTATAAACTTAGGACTCTGAACATCTTGAAACTTATTAAAATGATGTCTTTGGATCTATTAAGTATTTCATAAGACCTTAAAATGCTAATAGTTTCTATAAAACAACATTCATTAGAGTCGTAAGATAAAGATTTTATCAAGCTATAAATTTTTTGGGGGTGTGTGTGTCTTTTTGAGTCAGGGTCTCCCTGTAGCCCCAGCTAACCTGGAACTCAGTATGGCAACTAGACTGGCCCCAATCTCATAGAAATTCACCTGCATCTGCCTCCAAGTACTGGGATTAAAGGCATGTGTCACTAAGCCTGGCAAGCTATAAAATTTAATGTTATATACGTAGATTTTGATAAGGATTCCCTTCTAAAACTGGTTCTAAATCAATATATACTGATTACAATTTTATTTTATCTGCATAATAACCATGGCTAAAATAAAAATCAGATATTGTGGCCAGGTGTGGTGATGTACACCTAGCATTATTATCAAATCTTAAGTCATAAACACAGGATGTCTATCTTTGCTCTCTTTTTTTGTGTGTGCACGTGTGTTCGTGCGCGCGTGAGTGCAGGTGTGTGCACACCCGTGCTTATATGCTTGGAGGCCAGAGAGGTGATGTCAGGTGTCTTCCTCTATTGTCCTCCACCTTATTTTTATTTTTTCAGAAGATTTATTTTATTTTGTGTGTATGAACAAGTATGTGAGTGTACCAGAGTGTGTGTGTGTGTGTGTGTGTGTGTGTGTGTGTGTGTGTGTGTGTTACTGGCGGTTAAACCCAGGATCTTCTAGATTCCTTAGAACTGGAGTTATGGACAATTGTCTGTTACCATGTGGATGCTAGGAACCAAACCTGGGTCCTCTGCAAGAGCAGCCAGTGCTCTTAACTGCTGAGCCATCTCTCCAGCCTCTACATTATTTAAAAAAAATTATTTATTTTTATTTTATGTGTAGGAGTGTTTTGCCTGCATGTATGTAAGTGCACCCATGCATGCAATGTCCATGGTGGCCAGAAGAAGGAGTCAGATCTCCTGGAACTGTGTTACAGATGGTTGTTAGCCACTATGTGAGTGCTGGGAACTGAACCTAGGTTCTCTTAAAGAGCAGCCAATGCTCTTAACCACTGAGCCATTTCTCCAGCCTCCCATTATTTTTATTTTAAATTATGAGTATATGTGAGTGTGAGTGTGTGTGTGCATGCGCGCGCATGCATGTGAGCAGAGTGCCTACACAGGTCAGAAATAGGTGTTAGATGCCCTGAAGCTGGAGCTACTGGCAGTGATGAGTTGCCTTACCTTAGTGCGGGTCCTCTGCAAGAGCACTACACACTCTTAACCACTGAACCATTTCTCCAAACCCTGCCCCCTCCATTAGGTAGAGGTTTTTTGTTTGTTTCTTTATGTGTAGCATCTTCTGTTTTGTTTTTACAAGCAAGATCATGTCATCTGCATACAGATAATTACTTTTATTTTCTGTTGAATTGCTTTGGCTTTGATGTCTGATACTGTGTTGAATAGATGTGATGAGAGGACATCCTCACCTTGTTCTTGATCTTAGAAGAAAAACTTACAGTCTCTATTTTTTTTTGAGACAGGGTTTCCCTGTAGCCCCAGCTGTCCTGGAACTCATTACGTAAACTAGGCTGGCCTTGAACTCAGAAATCCACCTGCCTCTGCTTCCCAAGTGCTGGTACCACAGGCATGCGCCACCACGCCCAGCTTCTATTATTTTTTATTTATTTTTTTGGTCTTTTTGAGACAGGTCTCCCAGTAGCCTCAGATGGCCTAGAACTCACTATGTAGACCAGGCTACATAGAGATCCACCTGCCTCTGCCTCCCGAGTGCTGGGATTAAAGGTGTGTACTGTGGGCTTTTCATATATGGCCTTCATTGTGCTGAGATAGTCTCCTGTGCCTAGATTGTTGAGTGCTTTTACCATAAAGTTTATTAAATTTTGTCAAATGGTTTTACAGTATTAGTTGTGCTGTTCATGTGCTTCTTGTCCTTCATTTTGTTAACATGATGTTCTATATTGATTGCTTTTGTTCTGGTGAACCATCCTTGCTACTGGGTTTTGGTGTATAATCTTTTACTGTGCTGTTGAGTTTGGTTTGTTAATATTTTTCTGAGGATTTTTTTTAAGGCAGTGGTTTCATTATCCTGGGCTGACCTGGAATTTGGCTTTGTAGCCAAGGAAGACTCTGAACATAAAGAGAATTTTTTTTTTGATTGATTTATTTTTATTTTATGTGTATGAGTGTTTTGCCTGCATGCAAGTAAATGCACCCATGTATGCAATGACCATGGAGGCCAGAAGAGGGTGTCAGATTCCCTGGAACTGTGTTATGGACTGTTGTTGGCCACCCTGTGAATGCCAGGGCCTCTGCAAGAACAGCCAGTGCTCTTAATTGCTGACCTTGACCTCTTTTTTATAGAAAATATTTTGTTATTTTTATTTTATGTTTATGAGTATATTGCCTGCATGTATAAAATGCACCCATGCTGTGCAATGCTTGCAGAGGTAAGAAGCTGGCATCAATCCCCTGGAACAAGAGTTTTAGATGGTTGTTAGCTGCCATGTGGGTGCTGGGAACTGAATCCTGGTCCTCTGCAAGAGCAGCCAGTGCTCTTAACCTCAGCATTTTTTCAGCCCCCTGACCTTGAACTCTTGACCCTCCTGCCTCTACCTTCCTAGTGCTGGGATCACAGGTATGTGCTACCATCACCATTTTGGCAGTACAGGAGAGTATCTGGAGAGTACAAGAAAGTACCCAGGGCTTTGTGTGTGCTAGGCAAGCACTCTGCCAGTTGAATCACATCTCCAGCCCTTGGTGAGGCGTGTTCTGTCAGTTTTCATTAGGAAGCTGGGTATTGAGGTGCATACCTATAGTCCCAGCATTTAGGAGGATGAGGCAGGAGGATTGACACAACTTCAAGGTTGAATTGGGCTACATGGTAAGTTCCAGACTACAGAGTGAGATCTTGTCTAAAAACAAAACGAAAATGAAAACTAACATTATAGAAACTTCTTCCCAAATCAATATACCTCTCTCTCTCTGTCTCCCCGCCCCCCTGCCGTCTCCTTACTATTTATAAGATGCATTTATATTTTTTATTTCTTCAGGGTAAGTCTTGGCAGGTTGTACTTCTAGGAATTTGTTTCTTCTAGCTTATTCAGTTTGTTTGAAGATAATTGTTCATAGTATTTTCTTAAAATCATTTTTCTTGTGCATATGTATGTGTGGTATGCATGCATTTATGTATATTCGTGTGTGTGGGTTTGTGCGTGTGAGTGTAGGCCAGAGGTTGATGTCAGGTGTCTGCCTTGGTCACTTTCCACTTTGTTGAGGCGGGTCTCTCAGTGGAATCTTAAGCTCACTGATCTGGCTAGTCCGGCAAGCTAGCTTGCTGCTCCTGGGGTCCTGTCTCTACCTGAGTGCTGAGATCACAGGCTAGTCACCATGCCTGTCTGGCATTTGTGTGGGTGCTAGAGATCTGATCTGGTCCTCACACTTGTGCAATAAGCACCATCACTTGAGCGGTTCCCAAGTCCCCAAATTTGTAGCATCATTTTGTTTCTGTAGCATCAGTTGTAATGGTGTACTTTGACTTGACTTTAGTTCAAATTTTCTTTCTTATTCTAGCTAATGGTTTGTCAGTTTTGATCTTTTCAGAAAATACACCTTCACTTGATTTTTGTTTCTATTCTGAATTTTATTGGTGTCTGTGTTAATCTTTTTTTTTAAAACTTATTTATTTATTTATTTATTATTTAATTTATTTATTGGTCTTTTTGAGACAGGGTCTCCCTGTAGCCCCAGCTGTCCTGAAACTCACTATGTAGATCAAGCGGCCTTGAACTCAGAGATCTGCCTGCCTCTGTCTCTGAGTGCTGAGATTAAAGGCGTGTGCCACCATGCCCAGCTGAAACTTTATTTTTATTTTATATGTATGAGTGTCATACCTGCATGCATGTAGGTGCACCTATGTTGTGCAGTGCCTGTAGAGCCAGAAGAGGGTGTTGGATTCGCTGGAACTGGAGTTATGGGTGATTGTTAGTCACCATATGGATGCTGGGATTTGAACCCAGGTCTTCTGCAAGAGCATTCAGTGCTCTTAACCACTGAGCCATGTCACTAGCTCTGGGTTAATCTTTTAAAAAACATTTTGTGTGTATGTGTGTGTCTGTACACATGTGCAATGGTGCATGTGGACGTCAGAAGACAACTTGTGGGAGTAGGTTATCTCCTACTACGTGGGTCCTGAGGCTCAAACTCAGGTTCTCAGGCCTTTATCCACAGAGCCATCTCACTGGCCTCTTGCTAACTTTTGGCAGCATTTCTTGCTTTTCAAGTTCTTTAGGTTAGAGTTAGGCATTTTCTTTTCTTTTTTCTTTTTTCCCTCTTTCTAGTCTCAAGTGGTTGAAGGTGGCTTCTAACTTAGTATGTAGCTGAGATTGGCCTTGAAATTCTCATCCTACTTCCTCCACCTCCTGAGAGCTGGGATGACAGGTGTGTGCTGCCTTGCCCAGCCAGAGCTAGGTTACTGGTCTGAGATCTTAGTGTAAGCATTGCCCATATAGACCTTACTTTAGTGTTGCTTCCAGGGCCTCCCATAAGCTCTGCATGCTGAGTTTTCATCGTCATTGGTCTCCAGATGTTTTTCTGGTTCTTGTGACTTTCTCTGAGCTTTAAATGTACTTTTGATTTAAAATTTGTATGTAATGTAAAATGGTCTCAGGTTTGGTTATCAGGAGAATACAAATAGGGGAACTGGTTAGGGTTAGTAAGAAATGATCTAGATTATAGAGTTCTTATTTTTAGTGCTGCTTCTCTTCTGATGTGCTTAGGAAAAAAAGCTTCCTTGTTCATTGAATTATTTATGAACAATGAGCAAGAAATGATATCATTTTAGGGCTTTAGAGCTGGGGATGTAGCTCAGTTGGTAGAGAGTACCTGCCTAGCATGCATGAAGCCCTCAGTTCGATTCCCAGCACTGCATAAATTGTGGAGGTGCTGTATACCTGATAGATATTGTTTCTCCACTGAATTTCTGTTTCTACCTTCTGCACAATACTACCTTGACTTATTTAACACTTCAAAAAATGTTTTTTTCCTCTTACTAGGCACAACACTATCACTGGGAGATGGCTAACAAGGTTCCAAGCTGTGTGGGATCCTAAACAAGAAGATTGCTTCATAGTTGGCAGCATGGCCCATCCACGGCGGGTAGATGTCTTCCACGAGACAGGAAAGAATGTGCATTCTTTTTTTGGAGAGTGTCTAATGTCTGTGTGTTCCCTCAATGTTATGCATCCTACTCGGTATATTCTGGCTGGAGGTAATTCCAGTGGGAGGTTACATGTGTTTATGAATTAAGAAAGTTGCTGAGTTTCTGGGGTAGGTTTACCTATTTGTTCAAATTGTTCTCCGGCTTAAGGAACCTGGTGATTCACTTAGCTGAGTGTGTCTGTTCAGTAATCTGTTAAATTTAGCCAGTTTAAGATTGCTTGATTAGTAAGAGTAATGTAGAACGTCTGTTCATAAGGGAGAAACTTGGAGGCTGTTTTGGAGGATGAGGAAGGAATTGAAGCAGAGGCTGGGATGCATTCAGCACTTTTTGTTTGTTTTGAGACAAGATTATATGGAGCCCAAGTTGGCCTCAAACTCACTATGTAGCCAAGAATAACCTTGAACTCCTGAGCCTCCTGCTCTACCTCCCAAGTGCTGGGATTTCAGGTATGTATCGCTGTACTTCAGCGTCTTTTAGCACCTTTTAAATAAAATTATTTTTACTTTTTATTTACGTGTGTGTGTGTGTGTGTGTGTGTGTGTGTGTGTGTGTGCTGGGGGAGTGTATGCATGTGGGTACAGTACATGTGGATGCCAGGAGAGGGTGCTGGAACCTCTGGAGATGAGAGAGAGAGAGAGACCCAAGGAGGCCAGAGAGAGAGAGCAAGTGCCCAAGGAGACCAGAAGAGGATGTCAGATCCCCTGGAGCTGGAGTTACAGGCAGTTTATAGTCAACCTGATGTGGGTGCTGGAACTGAATTGGGGTTCTCTGGAAGAGTAGAAAGTATTCCTTTTTTTTTTTTTTGTCTTTTTGAGACAGCGTCTCCCTGTAGCCTCAGCTGACCTGGAACTCATTATATAGACCAAACTGGCCTTGAACTTAAAGATACCCGCCCATCTCTGCCTCCTAAGTGGGGTACATGTGTAACTACACCTGGCTTATAAAGTGTTTTTAACCACTGAGCTACCCTCCAGTCCCCTTACCACTTTTATTCAGACTGTATGTTGAGAAAACCGTGTTTGTTTATTTTATTTTTTTGGTAGAGTCTCACTATGTAGCCCTGGCTAGCCTGGAATTGGCTATGTAGACCAGGCTGGCCTCACAGAGATCTGTTTCTGGAGTGCTGGGATTAAAGGCATGAGTCGCCATACCCAGTGAGAAATTCTAACATTAGTTATAAAGCTTTGAATGATCAGTATTAGTTTTTGGTGACATACTGATTTTGCTGTGATAGTGATATACAGATCTGTGGTTTATTTTGTTGTGTGGGGTCAGTATTTCTCACACTGGAATAGGTCCTGAAGGTCATCTAAGTCTATTGTAAGAGGCCAGGTATGGTGGCACATGCTTGTTATTTTAGCACTTGAAAGGTATGGAAGATCCAGAGTTCAAGGTGAGCCTTACTACATAGTAAGTTTAAGGCCAACCTGGGCTCCAACCTGTTCTACTTTTCCTTGCCCCCAAATTAATAAAGCACAGAACAGCCAGACAATGGTGGTGCACGCCTTTAATTCCAGCACTCAGGAGACAGAGGCAGGTGGATCTCTATGAGATCCAGGACAGCTTGGTGTATGTATGGAGTTCCAGACCAGGGGCTACAGGGAGACCCTGTCTCCGAATGCATAATGTATAATTAGAATGTTGTTTTTATAACATTTAGTTTCAGATGCATTTGTTTATATATATTCTGATATATTTTTTATTGGAAGTTAAAGCTACTGCTCTAGAGTGTGCCAGACACCCTTATCTGTTCCTGTTCAGTGAGTACATTCATTCTGATTTACATATTATAAAATGTAATCACATTTGATATTTCTTTCTGAAACTATTTTCTTTTCACAAGTTATGGAAAGTTCAGTGTCCCTGTTATGGAAATCAGTGGCTGGTGTTACAGGTGACATGTATCCAAGCTTTTCCATTGTTGTTCATTGCCAAAGTATTACTGAAAGACTTGTCAACAGCTTAGGCAGTATGTTTGAATTGTAAGAAGAAACACTCTCAAAATTGTATGTTACAGAAATAAAGTGATGATATTTTCCTTAAAGAATAATTTATTTCTGAGTAATTTTCCTCTTTTTAAACAATATTTTTATTAATTGAGAATTTCATACAATGTGTTTTGATCATATTCGCCTCTTCTCCCCCACCTCCTCCTGGGTCCATCCCTACCTCCCTATACACCCAACTTCATCTCCTCTTTCTTTTTTAAGGCCCATCCAGACCAATTTGTGTTCCCCAAGTGCTGAGTAATTTTCTTCATAATTAAGATCTAAGTGTTTTGAGGTTTGGTTTATTAATAGATTATGTATATTCATAAGAAAGTGAGAGTTCTGAGTTTTCTAGATGATACAGAGGGACTGTAAGTATGATGGAAACACTCATTTATGAAGCAGTAAAGCTAAGTGAATGTGAGCTTTGTTCAGAAAACAGGAAAGGCAGGCTTTGGGCTTACTTTTCCTGTTCTGTACCAGTTAATCTCAAAGATCATAGACCAGTTCATTCTATGGAAATTACTCCTTTGAAGATACTGAAAACAACTCCCAATCAAGTTAGTACTGTGGCTTGAGCTTTGGGTTCTTTTTGAGACAGGGTCTCCCTGTAGCCCCAGCTGTCCTGGAACTTGCTATGTAGACCAGGCTGGCCTTGAACTCACAAAGACCTGCCTGCCTCTGCCTCCCAAGTGCTGGGATTAAAGGCATGCGCCACCACGCCAGGCTGGAGCAGGTTCTTGATGCTTCTCACTTGATTTCTCTTGCCCTGTGGCTTCACAAATTGCTGTTTTTAACCCTCTTTCACTTAATGCAGTTAGGTATTCCTGAGGCAATGCAGGAAGAGAAGAGGAGCTGGGATTGGCTCCTTGGTGATAAACTTTATAATGGGGGTAGTTGTAAACTGAGATAGTAATGAAGGGAAGTTGCTCCTTTAGGACAGTCTTAAATTGGAATCTGTAGTGAAGCACTTCTAGAGACTCACAGCAATGTGGTTCTTTCTTTTTTTTTTTTTTTTTTTTTTGAAACAGGATCTCCCTGTAGTCCCAGCTGGCCTGGAACTCACTATGTAGACCACACTGGCGTGGATCACAAGAGATCCTTTTGCCTCTGCCTCCCAAATGTAGGGAGCGCCTGGCTAGCTGTATGGTTCTTAATTATTCATGTTATTATGATGGCCCCTTCTGTTTGGGATAAACTTTGACGTAAGTTTGGCTTGTTGTGTCTCCTAAGTACATAAAGTGCAGAATTCCACTGTGGAATTGTTGTCTTTAAGGTGCCCAGCTTTTTATTACATGACTTTATGAAGGAACAGGCCTCATTTTTGGTGGACAGAGACTTGGGCAGACTAGGAATGAACACAAATGATTAAGAATGAATGGAAACTCGGTTACTTAAGTTCTGTATTTGTATTCTGACCTTTGACCTTACTTTCATAGAAGAGTTTTTGTAAAAGGAGTTCTCTAGCTGCATAGGCAATTCTTGGGCTGCAAATCCATGTATTTAAATCCTCAGCCAGTAAAGTTCTATCAAGTAACTTTGGGAAAAGCTCTTAACCATCTTGGTTTTCATTAGAAAAACATGGTGCAAGGGCTGGAGAGATGGCTTAGCAGTTAAGAGCACTTACTGTTTTTGTAGAGGACCTGAGAACAATTCCCACCACTCACATGGCAACTCACAACCACCTGTAACTCCAGCTCCAAGGGATCTAACATGCTCTTCTGATCTCCATGGGCACCTGTGCATACATGCACATCCACAAATAAATAATAAACCTTTAATAAAAAACAACAAAACATGGTGCAAATCACCTCTAAAATTATTTTACATTGGGTACAGAGAAATAGTTCAGTGGTTAAGGGGACTGGCTATTCTTGCAGAGGACCCGGGTTCAGTTCCTAGTATCCACATGGCAGCTAACAACCACCTGTAACTCCAGTTCCAGAGGATTGGACACTCTTCTGGCCTCTGGGCATTACATGCACTTAGTGCTGGGGGTTCGAACCAGTGACCCCTGCACAGTGATGATTGGGGATGAGTAAGTGTGCCGTTCGCCAGCCCATGCTGCCCCCAGTACCGGGGACACTCAGATACAATGGGGAGCCTAGTCAAGCAGGGACTCATTTATTGCAGGTGTTACAGAGCTTATAAAGGCACCTGGAAATCCCCCCCCCAGGGTGTATCTTAAGGGTGGTCATGCACTGATCATGCACTCCTCAGCAGTGTGGAAGTATCCTTCAGACTTTTAAAACAAGTCAGGACACACCCCAGTAACTTCCTCTGACCTCTGCAAGGTGGGGCCTTTAGGTCCTCACACTTAGTGCAGGCAAATAGTGCAGGCAAAATACACATAAACTAAAAATATATAAATAAATTATTTCACATTAATAGCATCGCAGTTTCTAACTATTTGTTTTGGTCTGGGACAATGATAAACATAAGGAAAATGTGGTTTGATATGACTCTGTGGCCAGTAATCAGTCATGTAAATCCTCCTGTGCTCTTTGATCTGTGTTGGTAACTTTTGATAGAGACTAGTTACAAGTTAAAAACAAAAAAAGAAATCCACTCTTTTAAGGTATTTAAATATTTATTTAAGTTTAAAAATAATCTTCATGGCACCAATGATTTTATGCTAACTACATACTGCATATGTAGAAAAAGATACATTGCTTTGAAGGAAAACATAAAGAGTTTTTGGCACACAAAAAGTTAACTATATATTTCTTAATGAAGCTAAGAATTTCACATTTGTAGGTAGTTTACCCCTACTGCTTAAAGATGCAGTACACTATTCTTTGATGCGGTTAAAGGTTTTAATGGTTCTTTAATGAATAGTTTTATGGCGTCGGCGAAGGGTTGGAGTACACCTAGTAAGTTATTTCCTCTGAAAGGTAACATGATGCAAATCATTGCTTTTTCTACAGTAAGATAAAATAAGTTTGAGAGGAAATGAGAGACACACAGTTAAAACCAGATTGAAAACTTGAATATTTTTAAACTATGGGGAAATACTGAAAAACACTAGTTACCAATAAAAGGGAGTTGTTATTCAAGGATTATTTGAGAACCAAATTGAAGGAAACTTTTCTGTCCATATTTTCTGGGATAAGCCTCAGAAAAAAAAACAACCTTAAGGTTTCAGTTCATATGTTGGAAATGGTATAGACTACTGCATTGTTAGAACTCTAGACACGAGAAACACACCAGGCAATGGCAGACGGCCTGTCTCTAGTGTGGCTATGAAAGGTCAGAGGTGAGGCTACCACTCACTGCATAGACACCGTGTTCTACAAACTGAGGTAGGAGCACTACACTAAAAGGTAATCTGCTATGTTGCATAAGACGGTAGAGATCCCGGTTTCCTGACAGCCATTTCACCTCTGGGAATACCGTCACATTAGTCCTGTGCTAAATGAAGCCTTTGTTATGCAGTTGGCAAGTGGCAGTGGCTAGTTGGTTTTAAGTGATCCCTAATCTTTACTAGGATCTCCCTCAGTTTGTCCTGTCATGTGGTAATTATATTTTTGATTCTGCCCAAATTATTGCTGGTATGGAAATGCTTAGGTAGGCCTGCATCCATTCTTAGAGTTACCGTAGTTGAATGTCCCAGTACTTGACCTTGCACATCTTCACATCAGACGACATGTCTCTGCTGGTTGGTTGTTGGAGCACCCGGTAAAGCCCCCATTGGGAAATGGTCTTGGGTCTCTCATAAGTGACAGGAATTGGAGCTGATCCTCTTTTACTAACATATCAGTAAGTTGTATTGCCTAGATCAGAGTTTGCTTATTATGGACTGTTGGCCAATTTCAGTGTACTTAACTTTTAAGGATTTTTTTTTGGAGGGGGAGGCAGGGGCTTGAGACAGGTCTCATGCATCATAGGATGGCTTTGAACGCACTGTATAGTTGAGGATGACTTTGAACTTCCAATCCTCCTGCCTTCACCTCCTGAGTGCTGGGACTATAGGCATGTGCTACCACACTTGGTTTTATGCAGTGCTGGGGATCAAATCCAGGGCCTCATGCATGCAAGGCTAGTACTCTACTGATAGAGCTATATCCCAACGCTATCCTGTCAGATTCTGTAGTTTTCTTGGAACAGACAGCCATGTTCTTTCATGCATGCATTATCTGTGGGGTGCTGTGATGGCAGAGTATGGGCAACAAAACCAAAATAATAAATGACAAATTACTGCCTGGCACTTCAGGAGAAGTTTGACCTCTGGTCTAGATAGTAAGGGCATCTTTCTTTAAATTATGTAAATGTCTTCGCTGCCATCCCAACTGGTTTTCCCATGGTTGCTTATATTCTGCACATGGGCATGGTTCTGCCACCTCAGGCAGCAGAACAGGACCCCAAATCTACCACGACTCAATCTGTTCTGCATTTGGGGCTCTTCAGCATCCTTGATGCAACTGCCCTACTACTGTCCCTGTCCTGGGAGTTTGCTCACTGACTGTCTTAACTATGTCCTTGGACCTCAGATGACTGAGAAATCTCTCCCTGAGATGAAAACAGTATTTTCTGTGTGATCGTTTTTAAGAAGTGCAGAGTCTGGGCCTAGGGACTCACACTCCCCTGGTGTACCTGTATATCTGTGAGCTGATGGCAGGTGTTTTTCAGAGGCAGAGGATGACCCTAGGGGCGGCATTTCTACAGCTAAGTGTTAGTCTCTGCCGTGTTCACCTTCTGTCTTCTGTAGGCATCTCTTAGAAATTCTGTTTAAATAAATCCTTTTCCCAGTCCCTTCCAAGGCTGTTTGTTGTTCTTGGAATTCTATTTCTCAGTGCTTTCCTGAGAGATCGTTTCATTCTTGCATCTTTTAGTTCATCAGGTTCTATTTTCTTAGTCCATAAAGTAAAAACAAAATATGAAGATATAAGAAAATGACATTTTGCTCTTAAAATAGAAATTGAAATAGTCTTTTTTGGAGGGGACACTCTGTACAAAATAAGCACTGCTCCCTGCATCTCATAGGCTCTCAGGTAACAGCACAGGTGTCTGTAACTGCATGGTCGGACATTGTGGACAGTAATCTGTGGTACTACTGCACTGACTGCATTAACATCCCCAAGCACTAGAAGAGTCTTGAGGTTCTTCAGAAAGAAACAAATCATTAAAACCTATAGTGATGCCCACTGGGCTCTAGTCTAAGGGGACAGACTTACCCCACCCCTGCAGCGGCTGCTGCTGTAGCCGTGGTCCCTTCAGATGCCCACTCTGCTCAGATTTAAGAAAACAAAAGGAAAAGAAAATCCAACTCAGACCATCAGAAGAAGCAATTTTTCTATTTAATCATTCTACATGGATGTTTACTTTTTAAAATGTTCTGTCTGGCAAGAAAATCTAAACAATCCTGTGAGCCACAGCCCTGGCCTGCCCTGTGAGGCTGCCATGATGAGTCTCCTGGAACCCAGGGACAACAGTAAGAAAGCTGTAGAGTACAGAGGACAACTCTTTAGACTTCGACTAGTGTCCTGTTGCTAGGTGACACTACTGCAATAATCAGTAATAGTAAAATAAGTTATTTTTATTTGAATACTTTCAAAATAATACACATCTATGAAAAATTAAAATTCAAACCCAAAAATTGTCCTGCATATCAAAGGATGAGAAACATAGAGTTGCTGAGCCTTTCTTGAAACAGCCTCTGAAGAACATGGGTTTTCCCTGTTTGTTTACAGGGCATGAACCTATATCCGTTTCTTCTTCTGGGAATCAACCCTCCTAGGCTGCAGTGGACTTTGAGTCATGAGAGGAGGACTTGTGTGTGCCGATGGTTCCGCGATGGGACTTGGTCCACCTGGCTAGTTATTGGGAGGAGTCATGCCTTCTCAGGTGTCAATGAGCAGGCTCACCACTGAGCGGATTTTGCAGGCAAACCATCGCCTGAGGGGACAAAAGTATTGATAGTGGAATTGTTCAAACTCAGGGGTCTGGCGGATATCTCGGAAAAAGGCAATGTCAAGGTCAGACTCAGTAAGGATGATCAGGAGGAGGAGCAAAACAAAGAGGAGTCCCATGGTCACAAGGAGCAAACGGAGGACACTTAAAACAAACTTATTCACCTGTTCTTCCTCTGGCCTGCTGTGCCCCTGACACAGGGCCCTCAGCTCTCCTCCGAGGGCCTCCACTTCTGCAACAGTTGGGGTGCTGGCCTCAGATTCCTTTTCCTCCTCGATGCTGCACGTGGCTCCATTGATCTGCCTGGAAAGTAGCATCAGCTCCAGGCTGTGCTCGGCCACGGGGGTGGGCAGCACACTATCTGCAGGGCTGTAGGCCTCGTCTGAAATCACAGCTACCCGCTCATTGCTGTCTGCCCGGCTGCTTCTCACGTGAGGCAAGAAAGTGTCCCCATGGGAAGAGGAACGTACAGGTGTGGAATGGGCACTGTCTCGCAGGGACTCAAGTCCTGGAAAGGCAGGAAGCACTAGGATAAGCTTTCTGGGTCTCAACATACTTTCTGTCCAACAGAATCCATTTGGTTTGTTTGGGTGCCGCTCCATACCCGCCATATTACCAGCACAATGGCTGGTTGACTCCCTTTTTTTTTGTTTTTTTGAGACAGGGTCTCCCTGTAGCCCCAGCTGTCCTGGAACTCACTATGTAGACCAAGATGGCCTTGAACTCACAGAGATCTGCCTGCCTCTGCCTCCTGAGTGCTGGGATTAAAGGCGTACGCCACCACGCCTGGCGGTTGACTCCATTTTTAACTATCAAGAACAGATTAAGAGACGTGCCAGCTGGCCATTTTAGAAGCGTGTATTTGCTTATTTATTTATTGTATGTGTGTGCATGTATATATCTTTCAACAGCTCCATGAGGCAGTGAGGATGAGTGGTTACAGAACTTGCTCTGAAATCTTATGGCTGGCTGTACACAGCAATGCTGAGGGTGCAATGCAAGCCTCTCTGTTTTATAATGCTGCTGATCTTGTAGATGAAACACAGGGAATGAACAACAGGCCTGGGTGGATTTGGTCCACAGCCTGCACCTGCCTCAGATTTGGGTCTGAACCACCCAAGAAACTTATGAAATAACTTGAAATCACTAGTCCTTGTCCATTGACCCAGAGCTCTTGATGTTTCTTAGATTCCCCTATATTACTTGGAATTTCTCCTTGGTGCCTCCTTTGGTACTTGTGACAGGAATGTTTTCTGGGTCATTGATAAAATAGAAACCTTGGGGGCTGGAGAGATGAATCAGTGGTTAAGAACACTCGCTGTTCTTCCAAAGGACCCAGGTTCAGTTCCCAATACATAGTGGCTAACTGCTGTTCTCAGCTCCAATTGCAGGGGATCTGATGCCCTCTTCTGACATCTGTGGGTATTGCATGACACAGGTGCATTTATATACATGCAGGCAATACACTCATACACTAAAATTTATAAAACTGAAAATAATAAAATCAAAACCCCAGAAACTTTAAGGCCCTGATTGTAGTATGCCCTTGGCTTGGCTCCTTTTCTAAATATGACTCTGCCCCCTTTTTCTGGAACCTCAGCACAGGCACTGGACACCCTCTTAAAGGCCTGTTCCCTCACAAGGACAACTCTGACAGCCAGAGCTCCCGAAGTATGACCAGCTCTACTGTCAGCAGCCACTTGAGTGCAAACTTGGCTTGGCCTGTGATTAATCCCTGAACTGGCTGGGGAAGGAGAAGGGCACTGTGATATCAGAGGACAGTAAGCGAGAAGGTCACCAGAAGCCATAGTATACTAAATTGTTGGTGCTTTAGGAAACAGAATAATGGACAGGTATGTGTTTCTAGTTGAATGCCTGACCACTATAGCGACTCGCTAAATATATCAGTGTCTGTTCCCCCAACAGAAGACCTTACCTGTAAGCTCATCATTCCACCTTAGGCTAGTTCAACCATATCAGTTCCCCCCCTTCCCCTCCCCCTCCCTTCCCTTTTCCTTCCCTCCCCCTCCCCTTTTCCTTCACTCTCTCATGCAACCTAAAACTTTTTCTTTTTCTTTTTTTTTTTTTTTTGGTCTTTTTGAGACAGGGTCTCCCTGTAGCCCCAACTGTCCTGGAACTCACTATGTGGACCAGGCTGGCCTTGAACTCACAGAGATCCACCTGCCTCTGCCTCTCAAATGCTGGGATTAAAGATGTGCGCCACCACGCCCGGCCTTGGATTGGTTTTTATCTTTTCTGTTGCATATGGAATGTTGTAATGTGTGCAGCTCATTCAAAATATACATATTTAAATTATTCATAAACATTGTCATAAACTTTAAAATTGATGATTATATAATGTTCCACTTTAAACAATTAACTTCTGTTGGATTTTTTTCCTCTTTTGAATTTTAAATTATATATATTGTTTTTCTTTTAGATTAAAGTATCAGGTTTCATCTTGACATTTTCAGGTGTGTAACACCATACTTCATTTATGCAGTGCTGAGAAATGAACCCAGGGCCTTGTACATGCTATGCAAGTACTTTGCCAATTGAGCTATTTTCCTAATCCTCTCAAAACCCTTTCCCTCTCTCATGGTCCCAGTTTTAGTTACATATAATCATACCCACATATCTAAAGATTAGAAGCTAGAATTTGCATGAGAGAACATACAGTAATTTGTGTGACCTTCTTTAATAATTTCCAGATCTGTCCATTTTTCTGCAAGTTTCACAATTCCAGGAAATTAATCTTTCACTACTGTAGGAACCACCATTCACCCTGCCCTTCATCAAGTCTGTTAGTCTGGGGTGGAAGGGATGGGTGTGGTGGGAAGGACTGGGGCTAAGTGGTGCAGTAAAACACAGGAGGCAACTTTTTACCTTGGAGGTGCTCTAGCTGATGCCTCTGGCCAGAGGTGGCTCCCAGTGGGCTGGGGAGCACAGTTGTCCGGACCCTACCCTGAAGTCGGGGTCCCATCCTCAGGATGCGTATGGTTAGGGGCCGAAGGCAGTGATTAGTCAACCGGAGCTGAACACGTACTCTGGTGTGAATCTTAATTAGACTCTTCCCCATGGTGGTCCAGGAAGGCAGCTCCTTCAGGGGAAACCAGCCAGGCAGGGGAATTTTGGAGAGGAAAGGAACAGCCAGCTAGGGACAAAGGATTTTCACTGATTCCATGACATGGCAGCCTCCTGTAGCAATGCCTTTGGTCTGAAAAATGTTAGGGTGAGCTGTAAGGAAGGCACAGCTCAGAGAGGAGAGGCCATCCTTATCAGGGGATGGGATTAGGTCAGAAGTGCTTACAGCCATAAAAAGCAATGCTTCCCAGTCTGTTTGTTCCCTGAGGGCTGTGTAAGGTCCAAGCTCTCAGAGGGTGAGGGAAAGGGCATGGACCAACTTAGACTGTTACAGAAAATACAGGATAGAAAGCCACAGACAGGCTTCATGAAGGCAGCATATGGTACAGTGAAGTCACACGGTAACTGAGGTAGAGGAGTTGGCTCTGGGGCTGGAAATGGGCTGTCCCATCTTCTGCTGGGCTCCACCATTTGCCCCTACAGAAGGCATAGTGGTGAAGGAAGCTAACATTCCTGAGCCTCCTCTTGGGGCCAAGCCTGTGTTAATCTGGGTATCCTTCACAGCATACAGGAGGGCTGAACAATTCATAGTCCTTGTTTCAAAGGATCCTTGTGCATGCTTCATTCAAACTTGAATCTATGCTAAGGTTTTTGTGAAGGAGAACAGCAAGGAAGAGGTTAAGAATGGTCAGGGACGAGGTCCGGACATTTCTTGAAAACAAGAATGTTGGGCTTGGTGGAATGCTTCCTTAGTCATAGAGAAAAACCTAAGTCTAAGTCATGGTACTGTAAGACATAGGATGTCTATTTAATGTTAAACATAATCACTGGCTGACTGGCCTTCCTGGAAATTGGTAAAATCTATAGATTGTGTAAGAAACTAATACTAATACTCTTTGTAACCTACTGGTTAACTTTAAAGGTAAACCCGTAGAATGTGCTCTTTGTCAAACTAATTATTTCATGTATTCTGGCACAAACACCAAGCTTGTAATTGTAGTTTTGGAGTATAAAAAAAGCACTGCTGGCCGGGCATGGTGGTACACGCCTTTAATCCCTGCACTCGGGAGGCAGAGGCAGGTGGATCTCTGTGAGTTCAAGGCCAGCCTGGTCCACATAGTGAGTTCCAGGACAGCTGGGGCTACAGGGAGACCCTGTCTCAAAAAGACCAAAACAAAAAGCACTGCTAAGGAATTAAACTCCTTCTTCTCCAGAGGGTTGAGTCCTTTGCCTTTACTCATTTCATCGTCCACCAACAGACCTGAGTCTCTACAGGTGTGTCATTTTTTCCTTTTTAGAAATAGCAAATGAAGCTTCTCTGGAACAATCAGGGCTTCTGTGATAATGCTGGGCAGACTAGGGAGGGCCACCTTTGGTGGCATATGAATCTATGAACTGATGTCACATGTCCAGAGCAAGCTCCTTGGAGTCTGGTTGCATTCTTCTAAGGTGTTGCTACAGCCCTCACGGCCCCTCCCTGCCCAGCTGTGTTTGTTAGGAATTTCAAAGGCAAAACTCTTCTGAGAGGCGGTACATTTCTCTCTTTTTCTTTTTCTAATTAAAAAAATTACATTTATTTGTGTGCGTGTGTGTGCACATGCCATAGTATGCACATAGAGGTCAGAGGACAACCCATGGGAGTTGATTCTTCCTTTTCTACCTTATGGGTCCTGGAGATCAAACTCAGGTCATCAGGCTTGATGGCAAATGTATTTAGCCTCTAAGCTAACTCACCAGTCTGAGAGATGATACATTTCAACTATTACCTTATAGAAAATATTTATTTCTATAGTCCTGCACTGATAAAGCCATTTAAAAAATATTTTCATTATTTTTATGTGTATGAGTATATTGCCTGTATGTATGTTAAGTACACCTGTGTCGTGAAGTGCTCTCGGAGTTCAGGAGAGGGCATTAGATTTCCTGGAACTGGAGTCATGGACGGTTGTTAGCCGATATGTGAGGGTGTCAGGAATTGAACCTGGGTCCTCTGCAAGAGCAGCCAGTGTTCTTAAGGGCTAAGCCATCTCTTCAGCCCCTGATAAAGCCATCTGACTCCTAAGATCTTATATGTTTTTTTCTACATCTGAACAAGTTGTCCTCCTCCTTCTCCTCACCCTGAGCCTGTGAGGATTGTTTCTGCCTGCCTACTGCTCCTGAGTCCATGTGTCCTGTGAGGGCTGTGGCACAGGCTGTGCTTGCCTGTGGGCAGTCTTGCGCACGGGTGTGGGGAACAGGCTGGTCTGGTAAGTAGTAAGTGGGTAGCCAAACTTGAGACACTGGCAAGTAACCTGTCTTTTCTTGCTGCTGCAGCAGGTCCTGTTGCCACACTCCTTACCCTTGCCTACAAAATGCCAGGGGAGAGGGTGCTTGGGAGAGTTTTCGAGGGGTTCAGACCCCTGGGTTAGTGTGCTTGTAAGTCCCAGCTATATCTGCTTCATGTGGCTCACACCTGTACTCCCAGCACTCGGGAGGCCTAGGCAGGAGGACCGTGAAAGTTTTAGATTAGACTGGGCTACAAAGTGAGATCTTGTCACACACACAAACAAACCCAGGGGCTGGAAAGGTGACTTAGTGGTGAAGAGCACTGGCTGCTCTTGCAGAGGACCTGGGTTTGATTCCCAACACCCACATGGCGGCTAACAACTATCTGTAACTCCAGTTCTAGAGGATCCAATGCCATCTTTGACCTCTGTGGGCATTGCATGACGTGGGTGCACTTACATACATGTAGGCAATATGCTCATACACATAAAATGAAAATAATAAATTAATTTTTAAAAAGCCCAAACAACAAAAATATTTCATATCCATTAGTGTTCTTGTTATTCATGGGGTAGGAAAGGAAGGTGTTCCTATCTTCTAAGTGAAGCAACTAAGACACTCATTAGCTAACTTGGTGGTGGCTGTCTAGCCAGGCTTCTCTGTGGAGTTCTTTATCATATCCAAGTGATGCACATTCAGGTGAGATTCATGTGTCACATTGTGAGACCTAAATGCAGACCAGAGGACCTCCCACAGAGCAAGCAGTTTTGTTTGTTTTTGAGATGGAGTCTTGCTCTGCAGTTCATGCTGTCCTTGAACTCAAGCTGATCCTCCTGCCTCAGCTTCCCAAGTGTCAGGATTACAAGCATGCACCACAACATCCAGTTACATGCAGAGCTGGGGATGGAGCACTCAACTTGTATTCCTAAGCTTTGTGTAGAACCCTCTACCTGCAATTGGGTTCTTTCCCCCAAGAATGTGCTGTTATCTCTAAAGCAAATTAGCCTCTTTTCAGGGTCCCTGAAGAGAAACTCAGCCATGTCATAGTGGGAGACACGGGTGTCCTCTTCAGGAGCTCAGGCTCACCTTCCATGATGGAGATGTGAACAGCTCTTCTGCGAGTCCTGGGGACACTGCTCAGCCGTGGGCCATGGGTTATGGAGGGACAACTCCGGCTGGGAACCATCCCTGCTCTGAGATTAAATGGAAAGAACCAAGTTCAAGCAGAGCACAGAGGGGGTTTCTAGGTGTTTTGTATCTTCTTGACCTTTGGCCCATGGGTCCCAGGCAGAGACTCTTAGTTCAGACTTCTCCACCTCTTTACACCCCACACCCAACCTTTCTGTTGTATGGCAACAGTTTTGGGGGACAGGACTGTTGCGGAGTAGAGCCCCAGAATGAGCAATGTTCCTGAAGTGTGTCTTAAGCATGGCATTGGCAGCTACTTGCCTTCTAATAGGCTGCTGAGTGGAGGCTGTGTGGAGGGGTAGGCTGGTGGTAGATCCTAGCCTTCTTGGCCAGTCTCTGGGTCTATCAAGTTTAGGGAAGCAGACTTCTAGAAATGCATGATTTATGGACACATGTGAGGTATGGATTCTGAGACCGAGGCTTCCTGTAACAGTAATTTCAGAACAGCGGCTATTGCTGCTTTGTTAGGTCATCTGTGTCTGTGATCAATGTCAAGACTATAGGGAGGACAGAAGAGAATTACTGGGTGAGGTGGCCCCCACATCTGATGTGCCATCTATAGTAGCCTGCCCTCCCTGTGTTCTCTTACAGGTCGTAGATCTGTTCGTGTCTCAGCTGACACGGGTTTCTTCCCCCTTCTGCTTGACTCTTCTGCCTCTTGGTGACTGTTGTGACTGGAAGCTTCACAGATCTTAAATTGCTAGATCTTTTTTGACATTTTGGCATCTGAACTGGAACTGGTTCAGGGGAAGCCTCTGACAGCCTACCTGTGTATTTCTGGTGGCTCCCGTTTGATCTTGGCACTTGATTCCATGACTTCCTTTGCAACTCGGCCACTGTTAAGTAGTATAAAAACAAGCAGCAAGCAGTGAGATGGTGATCAGGACTTAGCTCTTCTCCAAGATCTCAGGTGCTTTGGCTGAATCAAGAAATGGCCTTGGGGCTAAGAGAGATGGCTCAGTGGTTAAGAGCACTAGCTGCTCTTGCAAAAGACGTGGGTTCAGTTCCCAGCACCCATATGGCAGCTAGCAACCATCTTTAACTCCAGTTCCAGGGGAATCTGATGCCCTCTTCTGGCCTCCACAGGCATTGCACAACACAGGTGCACTTACAATACATTCAAGCACATAAAGTAAAACTTTTTTTTTTAAAAAAGAAATGCATGGGCATGGTGGTGCATGCCTTTAGTCCCAGCTCTCAGGAGGTAGAGGTAGGCAGATCTCTGTGAGTTCAAGGCCAGCCTGGTCTACACAGTGAGTTTCCAGGCAAGCTCGGGATACAGGGAGGCCCCGTCTCAAAAAAAAGACCAAAAACAAAAAACAAAAAAAACTAGCATGCCACAATGGCTTATCTTAGCTCTCTCCATCTCTAGAGTCTCTGAGATCTTCTGTTCTTAATTAGGAATGAGTCCTCCTGTCTAGCATGTTCCCATATATCACCAAGAAACAAACCAAAACCTTTCAGACAGGAAAACAGGAAAGAACCACTGTTACAGTTAGTATTTTGCTGTTGTTGCAGAAGAAACATTGTAAAACCCTGCAGTCTAACAGCTACAGAGAAGGAAAGAGTAAAGGAGAAGAGGACTGGGAGGACTTCTGTGAGCTCTCTTACTTTGTTCTCAGTGATAAAGCCCACCAAGTGACTGTTCCCTAGAAATAGATCTATAATGGCTACTTACTGTCACTATTTACCTGTATCGGAACCGGCTCCCTTTAAAGAATAAATTGCTGCTGGACACTGTGCGAACTTGGCTCGACTTCTCCAGCCTACGGCAAAGCAAAGTCCAGTGTGACAGGCGGCCTGAACCTGCCTCCCAGGCAGAGGGAGGCCGCTCCCTCCAAAGGCCACTTGAGGAAACTCAAGTTCAAGAAAAAGCCTTGGGTAGCCCATGTGGGCAGGACTGAGAATTAGTGGGAAGACTCAGACACTCAATTGGCAACAAATATCTGTTCCCAGGACAGAGACCGAAAACAAAGACCTTGAGAAAATGAGGTGACAAGAGACAGAGCCGTTCCCTTCCTTCTGTATATGGTTTAGCAGAGAGACAGATAGCTTCCAAATGTACCATTCCCAGGGCAATGACAGCTCAGTGTGGAACCAGATCCTGCCTACTAGGACCTTCTTTGTTGGGGAGACCCAGGGAACCCCATCCTTCCTGGGCTGTTCCTCAGCCCCACAAGCAGGAGTTTGCATCTCAAGTAGCTTCTCTAGATTCATGTAACTGACCAAATCCGAGCTTTGTCTTCATAGGTGAAGGGAAGGTGGAAACAAAAGAAAAGTGTTCTCTTGGCTTTCTCAACAGCAGGGACCGGGCAGGCAGGCAGTCTGACCTGGCTCAAGTCTCCTGAGTCTTCTTCAGAAGGAAGCCCACTCAGGGCAGAGTGCACACTGCCCATTTACGTCTCCCAGACTGGTATAAATGCACAGTAAGCAATTCAGAAAGGTTTCCCAAGATGTAGCTTCCGGGCTCTGGCCCAGGTAACTGGCAGGAGACCAGTTCTGTTGGCTGAATCCTATCATAGCTAGCAGGTAGCAGAGTCTGCTCACTGGGGAGGAGGTGGGCTCTCAGTACAGAGCAAGTCTGACCTTCCCAGGATCCTTCAGGACAGTGGAGGGAGGAGCTGACTTGTCAGAGGCATTTGGTGACAGCAAGGCTCACCTTAACTAGAGTATATCATACTGTTTGGCATTGTTACAAGAAACTTTTTTTTTTTTTTTTGAGTTAGGGTCTCAAGTATCTCAGGCTGGCCTCACACTCATAACTGAGGATGACCTTGAACTGATCCTCACGCCTCTACCTGAGAGCTAGGATTCTAGGGGTGCATCACCATGCCTGGCTTATGTAGTACTGAGGATCGAACCCAGCACCTCATGCATGCTAGGAAAGCACTCTACAAACTGAACTATATTCCCAGCCCAGAAACAGCTTTTTTTTTTCAATTTTATTATTTTATCTGTATGAGTGTAATGCTTGCATGTAGGTAGGTCTACCTGTGTTGTACAATGCCTATGGAAGTCAGAGAGGGTGTCAGATCCCCTGGAACTGGAGTTACAGATGGTTGCTAGCAGCCATGTGGGTGCTGCGAATTGAGCCCGGGTCCTCTGCAAGAGCAGTCAGTGCTCTTAACTGCTGAGCTATCTCTCCAGCCTCAAGAAAAAAATTAATAAAGCACAAGTGATTATATTTTGTTTTAAAGCAAGACCAGGGGGTTTGGTGAACATTTTACTTGGCATCACACCATTCTCTCTATGGTCTATTTCTTTACGCACTAATGCTTTTACAGTGACTTAATAAAAACAAACTGTACACAAGCCTGTCACACTTCACTAAACTTGGTAAGCAAAGTTGCCTTTGGTTCAAACCTAGCTTCTAGCAGCAGCCAAGCAGCTCTACCTCCAGCTCGCCTACCCTAGGTTCCTGGGCATTTGGCCTGCCATTGGCAATACCTCAGTCAATGATACACCAGGAGGGGTTGGCAGGAACTCCATCTTAGCTCTGGGCTACCCACCAGGAGGAGAACTCTAGGGTCTCCCCAAGGCTGAGGTCTGAGACCAGAGAGCTGTTCTGTGTTATACCAAGCCTTTTATGGAACTTGTCTTCTAGTCCTTTCAGGGCTCTGCAGGGACAGTGTGGTTCGAATTAAGATATCAGTTGGGCAGGGCATGGTGGCACATGTCTTTAATCCTAGCACTTGGGAGGCAGAGGCAGGTGGATCTCTGTGAGTTCAAGGCCAGCCTGGTCTCTATAGTGAATCCAGGCCAGCTGTGACTATAGGGAGACCCTATCTCAAAAACACCAAAACAAAACAGTCAGAATGTGTACAAGTACATGACTTAATGATACAACTCAGTAATACGGAAAAACAAGAACCAATGAAAGCTAAACCTAGCAAACAAGAAGAAATGACAAGAATTAGAGTAGAAATCAATGAAAAAAAGACATCAGTTGGACTTACTGGCCCAAGCTTTGACACCCCAACTCCCGCCCAACATCAGAATTACTCTGCCAGTTTCCTGGATCTCAAGGCTTGCCTGCCTGTCTTCTGACTTTTGTGACTTTGCCTCTGATAAAGACAGTCCTCAGCTGGGTGTGGGGGTGCATACCTTTAATTCCACCTCTTGGGAGGCAGAGGCAGGCATATTTCTGTGAGTTCAGGCCAGCCAGGGCTATGTAGTGAGACCCTGTCTAAAAAATAAAATTAAACTGTCCCTATCACGTGTCGACTCACTTGTAGAAGGCTTGGTTCTCGATCCCACACTTCCACAGGTGCTTGCAGGCTTCTGGGGTTGGAGCAAAATATGTGAGAATAATTTTTTTTTCCTGTAAAAAATTCCACACAGAAATAGCTGAGGTGGATGGAAAAGCCTAGGACCCTGCCCATGAGCTGCTGGAGGCCCTCTAGCAGCTGGCTGGCTAGAAGCGTTCAGGTCAGTGCACTAAGCACACCTAGCAGATGCAACTGGAGAGCTGGTGGTGAGAAGCAGCGCTTGCATGTGAGGTCTTGTGTGGGAGACAAAGAATCTCACTGACTACATTTCCTGGAGGTAGGGATCTCTTGGTTGGATCTTCTGGGCAACATCAGCATCCTCAAGGAAGTCTTGTGCTAGATAAGGCCTCCCCCTGACTTCATACCTCATCCCCAGGTCTTGACCTTGGTCTCAGCTGAGCAGGCAGATGGCTTCCTCTGCCTGGACCCCTTACTCTTGGCTCTAGCCATGAGGCACTGTCACAGTGCACCAGCCCTCCGTGAAGAGAAGGAAACCAGCACTCACCTCTTTCTGACTGACATATAAATAGAAAGTCTTTCCTTCAAACTTCAGTTTGGTCACCTCATTCCTAGAAGCACAAAGAAAGCACCTGTCACCTTGCTGTGGGCAGCTTGTTCACAGCCAAGTCCTGTAGATGCACAGCCCACCCGACTGGAAGGGGCTTCAGGCACAGACACAGTTTTAGCCAAAATTAGAACTGAAACAAGACAGCAGCGCAGTGGCCTTAGAGAACAGTTGTTGGAACAGTTCAACCCACAGTTTTCTGGTCAATCACACTACAATATTGGGGTGATAGGAAGATTTGGGGCTCATCAACAGTGGCTATAGAAGGGAAACATTTTTGTGGAAGTGAGTGTAGGTGGAGTCTCTGGGATCATTTCAGGACTTGGTTCATAACACGGAGTGTTACTGTATGAAACTATCAAATGTAAGATGCCACAGGTAGCTGATGAGGCCAAAGTTCAAGATACAGCCAATAATGAAATACAATGCAACCAGGTTCCGAGGGAGTTGAGTCTTTCAGGTGACTGTGCCACTGGATGGAAAATGCAGTTTATGCAGACAAATGTCAAACAATCTAAGGGAAGGGTGGGGCAACATACCAAAGAGAGAACAGATTACATGGAACAGTCATGCAGCGTACTGACCAGGAAAGGGGCTTAGGGGTTTTTGTAGAAAAATCCTTGAAGCCACCAGCCCAGTGAATGGCTGCAGTAAAAGAGGTAAACAGGATACTGGGGTACATCACCCATGGGACAGACACAAATTAGAAGAAGTGATATGGTTACTGTACATGGCATGGCCTAGATCTCACCTCCACATACAGCTCAACTTTGGTTACATTTAGAGTGGGGAAACTATTGGGGGGGCGGGGCTTATTTGATGTCCCTGAGAGCCAGAGAAGCAGACCTTCACGTCAGGCACGTCCCATTTGTCTGTCCAACACAGCTGCCCTGGGAGCCTCAATAAAGTTCTTATTTTTCTGCCTGAAATTCCTAAGGAGGTCTGATCATGCACATCTGCCTCCACTAGGCTGCTTCTCTGTCATTTCTAGAGAGATTTCCCCAATATCCTCTAAGCAGTAGAAAGATAGTGAGAACCAGGTACCTGACTTATGGCTGAATGAAATCAGGAGACAGAGGCAAAGTGACTTGTTGTCTGGGAAATCATGGTGGGTCAGCATGGAAGTTTATGCCTTCCCTCTGCCAGTTTTGAATGGGTACAAGCCATAGGCTGTTCGCGCCCTGTTTGATCCCTTTGAGTTCCTTTCAATCAACCAACCAACCAACCAACCAGCCAACCAACCATAAATCTCATGCTCAGGTAGAATACAGTAAATATACAGTGGTTAGTATACGGGTAATCATATGGATCACCTTAGGCTCCAACATGCACGGTAGGAAAATACCATTTAAATTTTTTTTTTTTTAAGATTTGTTTATTTTCATTTCATGTGTTTTGCCTGCATGTATGTAAGTACAATGCCTGCAGAAACCAGAAGAGGGCATCAGATCCCTTGGAACTAGATTTACAGTTAGCCACCACAATGTGGGTGCTGGAAACTGAAGTCCTCTGTAAGAGAGCAGCCAGTACTCTTAATTGCTGAGCCATCTCTCCAGCCCCCCACTTCCCCTCAATTTTGTTGTTTTGAGACAAGGTCTCTCTGTGTAGACCAAGCTAGTCTCAAACTTGAAGTTATCCTCCTACCTCAGACTCCTGAGTGCTGTGATTATAGTTGTGTACCACCACACCTAGCCTATGAGGTTGGGTTTATAACTACTACTCTGAAGTTGAAGTAGAAGAAACAACTTCCTGAGGAGAGTGTGGAAGAAAGGAAAGAGCCTGGGAAAGGTGGGGATAACTTAGAGCTTACAAGTGTCTGTTACAGGAGTGCCCTACTTGTTTCTGTCTAATCCTGCTCCCAACTCTCATGAGGGAGCCCATGAGACAACCACCCTGATCAGAATGGGACCCTCTAAAGGAACATCAAATAGCCCAGCTGTATGTAGGCAGCAAATGACCCACACTAGAACTATGGTCCAATCCTGCTTCACTGTCTTTCTGAAAAGCATTTTGTTGGATGGGAAATTCCAAACCCTCACATCCTCACCTGGAAAGTTCAGCAAAGTGCCAACTTGAGGCCCAGGAAACAGATGTGTTGGGTACTGTGTGACACTGGGCTGCCTCATGAAAGGACTCAGCACCTCATGTCAGGAGCAATTCCCTGAGGGCTGGTTGATATACCACCATTCTTCACGAGGACAATCCGTTAGGAAGGCAGCTGGTGTCCACGCACTGGCTGAGTAGGGTTGTTAAAGTGGGCAGAAGAGGAGATGCCTACAGTACCTCCAGAGGAAAGCTCATGAGAAAACAACTCTACTCAGACCCTTAATTCACTGTTGTAGAGATGGTAACGGAACAAGGCTCATGCTTCTCTTACTGAGTTCTGTTTGACCAAAGGAAGCCATTTATCCAATTTGTTCATCAGAGAAGCAGGCCAGCTTAGACATGGTAGTACCAAAGATGGTGCAAAAATCACAGGGGCTCTCTCTCTTATGTGGATCCTAGCTTTAAATTTACAGATTTATGTGTTTAATTTGGAGTATCCGTAGAGGTCAGGAAGCTTGAAAAGGGCCCATGATAGCGGGAAAGTGGCCATAGGGGGTGGAAAGAACATAGTAGAACACATAATAGGAAAGTAGTTGGGAAATACAGGGGTCTGTAAAAGGCTTAAGTAGGGATGGGAGGAGGGAGACTGGAGAGAGCTGAGTGATGGAGAAGAGGAAGTGGGAGAGGGTTACTAAAAACTAAGACTGAAAAAGTCTTATGGAAGCCCATTACTTTGTAAGCTAATTAAAAAGATAATTTTTAAAAAAGAGTTTGACCAGAGATAAGTATTCTGCATGGATGGACAATGCTTTTTTTTTTTTTTTTAAAATCTTTTTGAGACAGGGTCTCCCTGTAGTGGGGCTGGCTTGGAGATCACTATGTAGACCAGGCTGGCCTTGAACTCACAGAAGATCCACCTGCCTCTGCCTCCCAAGTGTTGGGATTAAAGGCATGTGCCACCACACCTGGCTTTTTTGGTCTTTTTGAAACAGGGTCTCCCTGTAGCCCCAGCTGGCCTGGAACTTACTATATAGACCAGGCTGGCCTTGAACTCACAGGCATTTGCCTGCTTCTGCCTCCCACATGCTGAGACCACAGATGTGCGCCACCATGCTCAGCCAGACAATGCTTCTTACAAAGACATGAGCATAGTGATAGAAGATGCTATGCAGGCCACCGGGAAAGAAAAGTTGTCAATGGACTTGCCCAGTGGTGGTCCCTTGCATGCTACAATACTGACCTGCCAGAGAGATATGCTCACTGGGGCAATAATGACTATTACGGGCCTAACCACTTTCTGGTTGGATTTGAGGCCTGCTCCACAGGAGGGAATTCATGTTTGGCATTATAACTAGGTCAAAAGATCATGGTGGGGAGGTTGTAGGCCCCACTACTGTTGTTTTACTAAATGGGCATGGTATCAAACTCCTTTCTAAATGTTTATGCCTATACCATCAGATTAGTGTTGCTCTCAACCATGGTCAGAAGAAGGTGAGATTTTTCCTTTTTTTTTTTTGATCTTTTTGAGACATGGTCTCCCTGTAGTCCCAGCTGACCTGAACTTACTATGTAGACCAGGCTGGCCTGGAACTCCTGAGTGCTGGGACTAAAGGGGTGTACCATGACACCCAGTTGTAGAAACAAGAAGGGTTTTTTTTGGGGGGGGGTCTTTTTGAAACAGGGTCTCCCTGTAGCCCCAGCTGTCCTGGAACTCACAATGTAGACCAGGCTGACCTTGAACTCACAGAGATCCACCTGCCTCTGCCTCCCGAGTGCTCGGATTAAAGGTGTGCGCCACCACACCCGGCAAGAAGGTTGTTTTTACAGTGAGCAGCAGTTAATACAGAGACTTGTAACTGGTCAAAGTGCTGAGAATAAATGACTGTTGATTGCTTAGCCCTAAATGTGACATCTATATCAACCTCTGCAAGACTTGGAACATCTAAGAAGGGGTGGAAAGAATGTAAGAACCAGGGGATGGTGAGGAGTGCTGTGAAATGCTGCCTTCTGGACAGGACATGGCTGTTGTACTCATGAACTCAAAACACAAGCCCTGCGCAAGAAAACCAGTCAATAATTCTAGCATGGATGAGAGAGGGGACCTGAGGGTCTAACACTAGCTGACAAGCTACTGGCAACTGACAGCTACTGGGGAAGAGGGGGAATAATTTTTTGGGGGAGGTGTGGTTGATGGTAGGTTGCCCACACAATGTCAGTGGGTTATTAAGAAAAAGGCGGGGGGGACATGAAACTGGGAGAGGCACATGTTGGGGGATCTCAGGGAGGTGAAAGGGGGGTTGGGAATGGATATTAGCAAGATACATTGCATATATGTATTAAATTGTCAAAGAATAAATGAAAAGTATTCTAAAAATCACAGGGGCTTTGAATAGGTCTAGGCGAGACTGATAAATGTTTGCTTGGGCCAGGTGGCAGAAGGGTCCCTAGGATATCCGAATGCCAATCAACACACTGAAGTCTGTGCCCAGCCACATATATAGACTGCAAACAGAACAAGGAGAGGAAACAATTTGGGTAGCTGCAGCTGAGACAGTGGCTCTTGCATGCTAGATGTGGCAGGGGAAAGGGGAAGGAAAGGAAGGGATGTGACTCCTGGAGGCTGAAGACTTATTCCTGAAGATGGAGTGAGGCTAGACAGCAGCATCTGAGCTCTTGAAGACTAATTACCAACAGTGGGGTTACTGTGAGGAGAGCATTTTGAATAGCATAGGATGGCTTACATTGGCCCTGGGGGAATTGGTGTGACTCCTCTCTTGTGAGCAGAGTAGGTACAGGCACTGGCTGTCTATGGAGATACTCTTGAACAGCCTAAATAGAGTTGACTGTGGCCCTCAGCAGCTGATGGATGCAAGGACTTTTTCATTTGGGGACTTTGCCTCTTTAATGTTGGCTCCAGCCCCAGGCCTCCCTAGAAATTTACCCCCTATACTTTTCCTCTTTGGAGAGGCTGCTGGCTCTCAGGGACACACCTTTGGAAGAACAGGATCCCTCAGAAAAGACTACTACCTTGGTCAGTTACCATTCTCAACTCAAGGCTTTAGAGAAGGCTGCAAACCATAACTTCCCGTCACAGACGAAGGACATGAGTACCACAGTCCCTCCCCAGTTAGTGATGTATAAAGAGCTTGTTTTGGAGATGAAGACAGACACTCACCATTTAATGAAATGGACTCTCTTGTTTCCTTGAAGAACAACAAACCCAAAAGGAGTGAAGGCCAGAAATGCAGCATTTCCCGAAACATCCTGCAATTAGAGAAAGACTTTTCATTGGGCCATAGAGGCGCAGGTGCAGAGGAGAAAGGATGGAAAGCAGGCTGTTCTATGCCTGGCATGGTGGCAAACGCCTGGGACCCCAGCACTCAGGAGGCTGAGGCAGAAGGATCAGGAGTGCAAGGTCATCCTTGGCTATGTAGCGAGTTGAAGGTCAGCCTAGGCTGCATGAGACCATCTCTTAAAATCCCAAATACCTGTGCTATTCATAGGAGAGGTGGGATAACCACTGTATAGTGAGTCACAGAGGGATGAGCAGGACATCTAAAATCACAAGACTATGGCTGGAGTCCCAGCCTAGCTACTTGCCTGCAGAGCCTTAGTGCCTGTATCTGTAAGTTGTGGATGATAATGACACAGCCTCAGAAGGGAATGAATAGCCAAAGGGAATGTCAAACCTTGTGTATTACTGGTAGGATTTTAAAATGGTGCAGTCACTTTGGGAACTAGTTTGAAGTTTTTCAAATAGTTAAATAGAGAGTTACCATGTGATCCAGCAATTCCACTCCTCGGTATACTCAAAAGAATTTATTATTATAATAACTATTATTTATGCATATTGAATGTTTTGCCTGCTTGTATGTAAATGCACCCACATCATACAATCAGGCTAGAAGGGGTTGTTGGACCTCACAGAACTGGAGTTACAGATGGTTGTTGGCTGCCATATGGGTGCTAGGAACCAAACCTGGTTACTCTGCAAGAACAGCCAGTGCTCTTAACAACTGAGCCATCTCTTCAGCCCCACATATGTATTTTTAGTACAGGAATATTAAATAGTGCCAGTATTTATTTACTTATTTATTTATTTATTATTTATTTATTTATGAGACAGGGTCTCACTAGGTAACCCTGGCTGGCCTGGAACTTGCTATATAGACCAGGTTGGCCTTAAACTCACAGAGATCTGCTTACCTCTGCCTCCCAAGTGTTGGGATTAAAAATGTGCACCAGGGGCTGGAGTGGTTAAGAACACTGACTGTTCTTGCAGAAGACCTGGGTTTGAATCCCAGCACCCACATGGCAGCTAACAACTGTCCGTAACTCCAGTTCCAAGGGATCTGACAGCCTCTTCTGTCCTCTGTGGGCATTGCACGACATGGGTGCACTTACCTACATGCAGGCATAACACTTGTACACACAAAATATAAATAATAAATAAAATATTTTTAAAAAAAGTGCATCACTATGCCCAGTCAGTACCAGTATTCAATAGGCAAGCAATGTAAACAGTCGAATCCAATTTTCAGGGAAAAATGTTCATTAACTGATAAGTAAGCAATAGAACATGATAGCACAATGGAATCTATTCCTTGGTAAAGGGGAATAAAGTGCTTATACATATTACAACATGATTGAATCTTCAAATACCATGCCAAGTGAAAGAAGCCAGCCATAAAACATTGTGTTGAATTTATATGTAATGTGCACAAAGGTAAAGCCATAGAGACAAAAAGTTTGGGGCTGGAGAGATGGCTCAGCAGTTAAGAACACTGGCTGTTCTTGCAGAAGACCCAGGTTTGAATCCTAGCACCCATATGGCAGCTAACAACTGTCCATAACTCCAGTTTCAGGGGATCTGACAGCCTCTTCTGACCTTCACAGACATTGCATGACACGGGTGTACTTACCTACATGCAGGCAATACATGCATACACATAAAATAAAAATTTAAAAAAGTTTATGGGTTTCCAGGGGCTGGAGGGAGAGGGAAGTAAGGCAGTGAGTATGGAATTTCTTTTTTGCTGAGGGAGGTCATGAAAACGTCCTAGAATTAGATAGTGGGAGTGATTGCTAAGTCTGTAAAACTAAAAACCGAATTGCACAGTGAAAAGGGTGAATTTGTGATAAGTGGAATATATCTCAAAAAGCTGTTAATATCCTTGCTCAGGCCTGGAATCCTAGCTACTCAGGAAGCTGAGGCAGGAAGATCATAAATTCAAGGTCTGCCTATGCTACAAGAGCGAATTCAAGGCCATTCTAGGGGACTTAGTAAGACCTTGTCTCAAAGCAAAAAGTCAAAAAAGAGGATTGGGGATGTAATTCAGTGATAATGCACTTGCCTAGCATGGGCCAAACCCCAGGTTCAGTATCCTGTCAGTACCAGCTAAACAAAACAAAAGCTACCAATAGGGGGCATTATCATGATAGCTATAGTACAGGCTCCTTCAGGGAAGTTCAGCTGAGCAAAAGAGAAGCAGCTGAGTGGAAGCTCAGGTCACCTGTCAGCATCAGGCTTACAGGGAGATGATGCAACTGAAGCCCAGGCCTGTGCCCTTTCTGTGAGAAGGGCTCCAGGCAAGGAGGCTGACTACTGAGGACACCTCAGGGGCTTCCTTTGTGGCTGGGATGTTAGGTGGGATCTGCTCTCAGGATACATGAGAGATGATGGAGGTAGCCACCTGAGGGAGTTCTCAGGTGACCACTGGACTCTAGGTATGAGCGTGGGCACTGTGGCTGCTGGGTCAGACCAGTCTGAGGAGTGGTCCTCCTGATCTGTCACACCTTCTGGGCTTGCTACCCCAGCATAGATTTCTAGCCTGATGGGCTTTAAAGACAATGGAGCCTCTACAGGGCCAGTAAGCCTTGCCTCAAGGAAAAATGCATGTCTGCCTTAAAGCTGCCTCTTCCAGTCAAATTTAGAAGTGTGAGCTTCTGGGCCCAGGGTATGAGCTCAGTTTATGTTTTATAAACCTTTCGGACTAATGTATTGTAATCACTGTCCTGTCCTCAGGGCTGCTAAGATCCAGACACTTGAGTGTAAGGGCAGTGTCCTTTAACCCATGGGCATAGTTAAGAGGTTTTAAAAGAAGGCATAGGGCCTGGTTCTCTCTGAAGCCACAGGGCTGGGCTTCCTCTTGCCTGTCATCAGGATTGGAGGTGGTTAATAACATCTGAGCACCAGGCATTGCACCCAAACATCCTTCCTGCCAGGAGACAGCAGGTCTAACCAAGCTGACTTGGCACAGACATGGGTCAGGGCAGGTGGCATTAGTGGGGAGAATGCCTGGGAGAGGCAAGTGAAGGAGGCAGCCAACCTCAGATGGAAGGTGGGCACTGGGAAGCTTTCTGTCCTTGTGCAGGCTAGACCCAAGTATGAGACATGAGGGTAGATATTGTATTCACACTCCTCTAGAACAGGACTGCAGGCTTATCAGATAACATAAGATGATATAAGAAGACAAGGGTTAGAGGGGGCATTTGGCTATATGTACATGGGTAGGAATGAAAAAGGCATGAGTAGGCAGAGGTGGGAAGGGTGTCTTATGATGCTGAGTCAGGAAAGGCCTAGAGGGAATAGTTGGAGGGATGGGTAGGTCAGGCCTGGAGAAGGGGAATGTGGACAGCTTGTACCAGAAGCAGGGAGGGAGACAGGGTGGCTGGAGGACCTGCTGCCATTTCCACCTTTGCTAATGTGGCAGCAATGGGACAGAAGGCACCTGTGGAAGGACCACAGTGCCATGGGCTCTGGGGAAGATCTATCAAGTCCAGGTCTGGCTGTATCACTCATTGTGTGACTGCAGTCATGTTCCAAAATACTACCTCAGAAATTATGCTTAGTGGCAATCGCTTATACTAATGGCAGTTAGTTGAGTATAGCTGTTGAGGTTGTTGAATATAATATTAAAACCCTAAATTTGCCTTTTTTTCTTTGATGCTGACAGATTTAAGCCTTTCTAGTTAGGAAATGGAAGCTAGACTAAAAAGCAAGTTGTTCCCAATAGGAAGTCATGGAGCAGGAAGATTTGGATGATCATGATCCTGAAGTGAGTGGAAGGAAGGGTCACAGGCTGTGACCCAGCTGGAGATCTGTGAGACCCAGTGACCAGTATCTTTCTGGCCACAGCAAAAGTCAGAGTTTCTCTGCTTGCTAGGCCACATGATATAGACAGCGCAGGCAGCTTCCCAGTGAAGGCAGGGCTGGGGAACAGCCTATCCTGACTGGACTGGCTGATCTGGAACACGCAGCGAACTTGGAATAAATCCTGATGAGAAGCCATGTCACTCCAGTAACAATTAATAGCAATGAATAATTCCAACGCAGTATACAGAGAGCAATTCTCCAAAAGGCTTCCTGTTTCACAGAGGTAAAGTCCACAGCAAGACCGTGGCACTCCGTAGGGCATGGAGGGCAGCCAGTGCTGGCTACTTGTCTCAGGTACATGAGGCTTAGTAACCAGTTCAGGGTGGGACTTGGAACTACAATGAGAAATCTTATTTCACACTGGCATGAAAATATAAGCTGAGAGGCCTTTTCTGGAACTTCTTCATTTTCTTCTAATGTGTCATTCTCAGTATGAGCCTGCCCTTGGGGTTTCTGTGCAAAAGACCAAGTTGCATGGCAAAGAGGGAATGAGGACAAATACAGCCATCTGGCCATCTCCTGCACAGACTTCCACCTTACTAAGCAGAGGTCTACCTGTCCTTTTCCCACCCCCACAGTTAGCTCCCATGGGACTGAGCCCTTATTGGAGCCAGGAGGGGAAATGGAAACATGGGTCCTGACAGCCTGGCAGTGGATATGGCCACTCTACATCTCACAAGAGAAGAATGTAATTCACTTCTGAAGTTGTGAGGCCCAAAATGTTTCAACTTTTCAGGGCTGGAGAGATGGCTCAGCAGTTAAGAGCACTGACTGCTCTTGCAGAGGACTTGGGTTCGATTCCCAGCACCCACATGGTGGCTACAAACTGTCCTTAACTCCAGTTCCAGGGGAATCTGAAGCCCTCTTCTGACCTCTGAGGCATTGCACAACATGGGTACACTCAAATACACGCAGGCAATATACTTATACACATAAAATAAAAATAATAAATAAAATATTAAAAAAAGAGGTTTCAACTTTTCATCCTTAGGGGAAAGGCTTCAGTCTTGGTTTAGAACCCCAGTTCTGCTTCTTTTTTCACTCAGTGACTAACTTCTCCAACCTCAGTTCCCTCACTGGTTAAATGAGACCAATGCCATATACCTAGAGGAACAGTACCAGCCTGCTTGAGGGAATGTCTGCTATGGCATGGCCAACAGTGTTCTTCCAGAGAGGGGCAAATTTTGTGTTCGCCTTTTATCTTTCTTTCATTTTTCCTTTCTTAAAAAAATTAATTTATTTAATCTATGTTTGGTCTTCTTGAGACAGGGCATAGTCCTAGCTGACCTGGAACTTGCTATTCAGACAAGGTTGACTTGGATTCTGAGAGATTTACCTGCCTCTCTCTCCCAAGTGCTGGGATTAAAGGCATATGCCACCACACCCGGTTTATTTTAATTTTATGTGAAAGTTTTTCCTGCATGTATGGATGTGCACCATAGGCATGCAGTGCCTGTGGAAGCCAGAAGAAGGTGTCAGATCCCCTGAAACTGGAATTATAGATTGTTGTGAGCCTCGGCATGGGTACTGGGAACCAAACCTGTGTTGTGTGCAAGAGCAGCAAGTGCTTTTAACTGTGGAACCATCTGTGGCCGCTTTCCTTTTTTTGAGACAGGATTTTGTGTACCTCAGGCTTGCCTTGAACTTGATGTGTATGTAAAGTTGACCTTGAACTTCTGCTCCTCCTGCCTCCAGCTCTCCACTGCTCAGATTACAGGCCTGATTTCCTGTTTCAGGGTTCAGAGTAGCTGGGCTTGTAAACATCACCAGCATGCCTGGTTTTACATTAATATATGATTATTTCAGAAACTTTATAGGTCTGTGAATTCTTTGTATCAGAATTGGCAGTGAGTTGTGCTTAGGTCTTAAATAAATCTCATGTCTGTAGAAGGAAGATCATGCTGAAAAAGCACATTGAAATGAGACAACTCTGAGTTTAAGTCTCAGTGCCGTCCTGACCAGTAACTCTGGGCATGTTAGTCAGAACTTCATAGGCCACCTGATAATTCTTCCCACCTTTTTTAAGATCTGCATTTCAGAGGCCTGGTGTTTTTCTCTTTTTTTTAAAAAAAGTTTAAATTCATGGGGGCTGGAGAGATGGCTCAGTGGTTAAAAACCTGTTTTTGCAGAAGACTCGAGTTTGAATCCCAGTATCAAAATGGCAGCTAACAACTGTCCATAACTCCAGTCCCAGGGGGTCTGACAGCCTCTTCTGACCTCCGCAGGCACTGCATGACACAGGTGCACTTACCTACATGCAGGCAATACACACATACACATAAAAATAAATAAAATTTAAAAAAATTAAAATTTATTTATTTTTATTGTAAGTGTACAAATGTTTTGCCCACAGGTATGTGGGTGGGTGCACCACAAGGGTGCAATGTTGACAGAAGGGGACATTGGATCTCCTGGAACTGGAGTTCTGGATGGTTGTTAGCTTCCATATGGGTGCTGGAAACTGAACTAGGGTCCTCCACTAGAGCCATCTCTCCAGACCCAGTGGTTTTTTTTTTTTTTTTTTTTTTGGTCTTTTTGAGACAGGGTCTCCCTATAGCCCCAGCTGGCCTGGATCTTGCTATGAAGACCAGGCTGACCTCGAACTCACAGAGATCCACCTGCCTCTGCCTCCCAAGTGCTAGGACTAAAGGCATGTGCCACCACACCTGGCTTCGGCCCCAGTGTTTTTAATCTTCCAGTGAGGGTAAGATAGGCTCTTGGTAGAGACACAGTAAAGTTTAACTGAGATAATGTATCTGAGTACTTGGCACATGTAGCCTCTCAAGAAGTGAGACCATCAGGACTCAGAATAAAAGGGCTGGGTATCTGTGACAGAGCTAACACTCCCATGAACCCCAAGCAGTTGGCTCCAGTACTGGGTTTTAAGATGCCCAGGGCAAACAACCAGTGTCAGGGCTAGCCTGGACTGAACAGGATGGGAGCTCCTGATGTTGGAGAGGGGTCAAGGAATAGAGGCTGTAATAGGCCTTACTCTCCTCTCCAGCAGCTGTAGGCTTGGGTCTGGCCAGGAGTTGGGGACTGAGAGTTGCAGCAGAATTGAGGACAGCCCTGTGCAAGTTTGGAGTTTGGAGTACAGTGTTCTGGCTACACGGTCAGGGGTTTGTAAGAGCTCCCCTCTTGGTCCGAAGACCAGACAAGGACACTTTGACAGAAAGAAACCATCAGCATGCACAGGACGAACGTCAGCTTCTTAATCAGTCCAGGAGAACAGAGCCCAGCTGAAGCATTCTGCTCTCATTTAATTATCAAAACGATTCCTCTTCTGTCCTCCCTAGGGCTGCATGCCCCAGATTCCCTGGGCCCAGTAATTGCCTCTCTGTTAATAGAAATCATCATTATTTATTACACTGGGTGTGCCAGCTTATTTCAGCTCTCCTTGTAGCAACATTAAGGGGAGTGCTTGGTAGCACATCATCAAAGTGACGCTACTTAATGATAAGAGTGAAGACTCCCAAACTGCTCTCTCCCTAGGGGGGCTGAGGAAACATGGACGGAGCCTAATGAGGGTAATGTGTAGGGTCTGCAGCAGAGCCCTGACATGGCCCATGTGAGCAAGAGGTCCAGGCCCAGGAACCTGTGCCCAGTAATGGACAAACTTATAAAAGTCAAGACTGAGCCTGGAGCCTGTAGTTCTGGAGTGCACTTGAATTTAGGCTGGACACTGGGCTGGCTGCCACTATCCATGACTTTTAGACCCTCTGGGCAACACTAGAGAATCCTACCCACCTGCTGTCAGCTGTCATATCCAGGGGCAATGCCTGCCTACCTCTGTGTGTTGTGAACCCTGCCTTGACTCCTCTACGTGTGGCCTTAAGGGGACTGGACTCTAACGCAGGTGACCTAGCACTTTCTAAAAACTCTTTTCTGTCTTTAGGTAGTTCTGTTCTTTTATTTATCTATTATTTTTATTTTATATGGATGAGTGTTTTGCCTGCATGTATGTAAGTGTACCATGTGCATGCAGTGCCCACAGAGGCCAAAGAGGGTGTTGGATCCCCTGGAACTGGAGTTATGGACAGATGTTAGCCTCCATGTGGGTGCTGGGAATCAAACTCTTCCTTGGAAGAACAGCAAGTGTTCTTAATCGCTGAGCCATCTCTCCAGCTCTGGTAGCTGGAGAGGTAGCTGTTTTTTGAGGTCCTAGAGTGACTCATTAGTTTGGGGGACATGCTCTTGAATACCTATTGTTTACTTTACAGATGAGAAGAGGGAGGCTCAGAAGCCAGCCTAAGCCCAAGAAATAGTTGGCTAGTACTGGAGCCTAGGGCCAACTGTCCTCCAAACTCTCTTCCCTCCATGAGATCCCCTGCTGAGAGTGTCTGAGGAGGGGCTAAATAATTTCCATTACACAGGGGACACATTTAGGAAGCTTTGTGAATTTGTATATTTATATATTCAGTTGAGTAGAAGCAATGTGGATGTTCTCCTCACTGCTGATCCTGGGGACGCAGGACAGTGCATTATGCAGTAGACAGGGACTTGGTATGGGGAAGAGGAGTCTGCGTTCTAGAATGCCCTCCAGGTTTCTTCTAAGTCACAGACAAAACCAATTCACCATCGCCTCATGTGTCACTGTGTCCCTTAGTTTTCATTGGTTGTTAGATAGTGAATTGTGTCCCCTCCTTCCAAGTTCAGATGTGGGAGTTGTCACCCCCAGAACTGGGAATGTGACCTATTTGGAGATAGAGTCTTTGGAGAAGTAATAAAATTAAACTGAGGTCACAAAGGTGGGCTCTGCTCATATAAGTGATGTCCTTATATGGGGGAGATTTGGACAAAGACGCAAGCAGAGGGAAGCTAATGTGAGGACCCAGGATGAGGATGGCTGCCAACAAGTCACGGGAGGGGCTGGACAGATCCTTCTCACAGCCCTCAAGAACCAACCCTGTCAGCACTTTGGCATCACATTTCCAGCCTCCAGAGTGGAGACAATGGACTTGTGTCATTTATTGATTTATTATTTATTTATATTTTATGTGTATGAGTATTATTCTTACATGTATCTAAGTGTAAATGTACCTGTGCTGTGGAGGCCAGGAGAAGGTATTAGGTCTCCTGGAACTGGAGTTACCCACAGTTGTTAGCCACCATGTGGGGGCTGGGAATGGAACCCAGGACTTCTGCAAGGGCAGCCAGATGGCTCGGGACCACTGAGCCATCTCTCTAGCCCCCAGTTTGTGCCATGCAAACCACTCAGTTTGGTACTTTGTTACAGTAGCCCTAGGAAAGGAACACATGAACTCTGAATTTCCTTCCAAACTACAGCATCCTCTCACTGTGTGGAAGAAGATACTGATGTTTTCGGCTTCCAGCTGACACATCCCCTTCAGGTCAACTTTAGAACTGATTTTGCTGTTGGTACTGCAGCCTCTCCAGTAATAGAAAGGGATATAGAAGTGAGGAGAAACTGAGGCAGGGACCAAAGTGTCAAAGCAATGGGGACATGAGCTGTTGTGTGAAAGGAAGTGTTTGTGGTTCTCCACTGCTCTCAGGGGACGGCTCACCACACTCATCTCTGGGAAAAGCCAGGCACATGTGAGCAATTTCAGAAGTTTTCTTGGGCACAGCTTCCTTGGTAGAGGTTTGCCTCACCCTCACACGTATATAATGGAATGTGATTCCACTGTAGTTCCATGTGGTGACTCGTGCCACTACAGTCAATAAAACCCACTCTCGGAAAGAAATTAGATTACGAGTCAGTAAAGGGTAGACAGTTGCTGAGTGGCTGCCAGTCATTCCCTGTGGAGAGCTCCCCATCTTCCCCTCCTCTTCATTTCCACCAAAATTACCCATGGCTGCCAAAGCTGGGCACTGGGGTTTGGATCTGTTATTTCGATTGCCTTGGATCCTCTGACACTGATGTGTATAGAATCCAGAGGAGTGTTCAACATGGCACCTGCTACAGGCAGAGGCACTCCAACATACACTGAAGGGACCCCCATGCCTCTCTCCAGCTACCATCTAGAGGACGCAGTCAGTGAGGTCTCCCACCATGAGGGAGTCTTACCTTACATGGGTGAGGATCCACTCCATATGTCTCTAATGTCTGCGCTTTTCTTAAGAAATTCAACTCAGATGTTGCTGGTGTTTGACCGCTGGAATAAAAAGGAGGTGGTTTCAGGGACTCCTGTTCTAAAAGGCTCCCCTGAGGTAAACTCTCTGTGAAGAAGGGCTCAGGGTAGGCCACATACTCCAGGAGTGTGCTCCTGCTTGGTTCTAGAACCAAGAGACTTGAATCTAAGGTGAGAACTCAGAGTGAGAGAGGCTACATAATGAATCAGGTGGGCTAAATGTGAACAGCAGGGAATAATGGGGCCACTCTGAGATGACAATCCTGCAGAAATACAGTGCCATGGGCTACAAAGATGGCTCAGCGGTTAAAAGTGCTTACTGCTCTTCCAGAGGACCCTTTGGTTCCTAGCTGGCTCACAACCACCTGTAACTCCAACTCCAGGGGGATTCAATGCCTCTGGCTTCCATGGGCACCCACACTCACAAGCACATATCCACAGGCACACACACACACACATACACATGTTTTTTTTTAAAAAAAAAAATCTTAAAATTAAAAAGAAATGCAGTGCCCAAGCCAGGCATGGTGGTATGTAGCATCTGCAACCCCAGCATTTGGGTAGCAGAGGCAGAGAGATCAGGAGTTGAAGGCCAGCTTCAACTACTTAGCAAGTTCCAGACCAGGGTGGGCTACATGAGATCCTGTCTTATAAAATCAAAACAGCCGGGTGTGGTGGTGCACGCCTTTAATCCAAGCACTTGGGAGGCAGAGGCAGGCAGATCTTTGTGAGTTCGAGGCCAGCCTGGTCTACATAGCGAGTTCCAGGACAGCTAGGGCTACAGAGACCCTGTCTCAAAAAGACAAAACCAACCAACCAACCAACCAACCAACCAACCAACCAAACAAACAAACCAAAACCATGGACTGGAGAGATGGCTCAGTGGTTAAGAGTGCTGGCTGCTCTTGCAGAGGACCTGGGTCTAGTTCCTAGCATCCACATGGAGGATAACAACTGTCTGTAACTCCAGTTTCAGAGGATCCAATGCCCTTGTCTGGCCTCCATGGGCATTGCACACACATGGTGCAGGCCAAGCACTCATACATGTAAAATAAAAATAAAATATTAAAAACCCAAACCCCAAAACAAAGAAAGAAGTAAGCAACTGCCACCACTACCATTCAAACCCCCAAACAGAATCAGGGCCCCAACATTGCTAGGTGTTGCAATTTAAAATTTTTATTACATTTTATTATTTGTGTGTGTGTGTGTGTGTGTGTGTGTGTGTGTGTGTGTGTGCGTGCGCACATGAGAGGTCAAAGGACAACTGGCAGGAGTCAGTTCTCTCCTTCTACCATGTGGGCCTGGAGATCAAACCCAGGTTGTCAGGCTTGGTGGCAGGTGTTGAACCATCTCTCCAGCTCAGTGTTGTGATATTAACAGACATTAGAGATACTGAATTTGTGATATTTTATAATATTAAGTACTGTGGAGACGAGCAAAATACATCTTTTGCCTGGCTCCCAGCTACAGGTTTCTTGACTGTGATCTGACATGGATTGACACACAGGAAGGGTCTAGTATATCCTGCCTCTGCCATTCAGCCCTCCCTCTCCCTCAGTCAAATGAGAGCATAGGAATGTGGGGTGAGGAGAAGCAGTGGGAGACTCTGCCTTGCTCTCCCAGGGTGATAATACAGAAGCTGAAAGGCCTGGCTCTAGCCATCTGAAGAGGTCTTAGCATGGCTCTCCTGCCTCACATGTGTGTGCATGAAACCCCCGTGGAGCCAGTGGTGGCACTGGCACTGAACTCTTGTGTGTGCAGAGTCCTGGAAAAATAGATTCAGTATGAGGTGGGTGGGCAGTTTGTGAAGTCAGCTCTGATGACCGGTGGGCAGGACTGTAGGTTGCTCATTTCTAGATTGATCAAGTAAGAGGGCAAAGCAGGAAACAAGCCCACCCAAGCAAGAAGCAGACCAGGCTCCCTAAAGTGCCCCTTTGAAGAGGCCTCTGTCCTTCAGCACCTTAACGTGTCAGCCTCTGTACTACTTCTGGAAAGGAGACCAAGAAATATAGCTCACAGCCTGGGCCCCAAGTGCCCACTCAGAGCTGCAGACAGGAAAGGAAACTTGGGCACATTTCCATACTGTGAAAGTGCATAGTATCAGGGGGAAGGTGGACTCCTGTATCTACCAAGAGATGTAGGGAGGGGTTTGGAAATATGCCTGAGTAGCAGGCACATGGCTTAGTACCTGCCTTCTAGGGAGCTCCCTCTTGTTCTATTTAGAGGAACTGGCCCTGTGGGATCCATTAATCCCTGGAGTTGGCTCAAATCTCCAGGCCCTCAAGGCTGGCATGATTTCTTGAGGATCCTCTGTCTGAACTATCTGGAGGACTATCCCAGTACTCTGACATCTCACTCTGAATGAATGGGAACCCACAAGCAGGTCTGTGTTTATTCTGATCTTTACCACAAGGGGTCGCCATTTCCCCACTGCTAGGGAGCAGTGACAAGGGAGACCCTGAGGCTCTGCACAGGGGGAGAGGTGGAAAAACCATAGACCAACCCTCATAGGTGTTGCCAATCTCCAGGAGACTCGGGACCTATCCTGCCATATGTGATGGCAGGGTGTCCTTCGCAAAGGTCGAGGTGGCTTTGGATTATGTTCATTCATGAAATCTTTGAGTGAAGATGAAAGTTTTTGGGGAAAATCATGGTCTGGTTGGAGCTGGGTTAAGTTCAGTATCATTAGAAGCATGGCCCACCCCAGTCCAGTCCAGTCCTTCTTCAGAACAGGAAATCTGTAAACTTCTTTACAGATTAAAAATTTGCAATTTATAAATCCTCATTCTTATCTGCTGTCCAGTTCCAATTTTCCTACAGACATAGAAAATTTTGTTTGGTTTAAGATTTTACATAATATCCTTCTGTGAATTATGTATACTGTGACCATAATTTGTGGTTTTCATCTCCCCTCATTTTTTAAAAATATTATTTTTATTTTATGTGTATGAGTGTTATGCCTGCATGTAGGTAAGTGTATCCATGTTGTGCAATGCCTGTGGAGGACAAAAGAGTCTGTCAGATCCCCTGGAACTGGAGTTATGGACAGCTGTTAGCTGCCATGTGGGTACTGGGATTTGAACCCGGGTCTTCCACAAGAACAATCAGTGTTCTTAACTGCTGAGCCATCTCTCCAGCCCCCTTTCCCCTTGTTTTTAAGGAAGGTGCATTTTGGTGGGGGGGCTTTTTGAGACAGGGTCTCCCTGTAGCCCCAGCTGTCCTGGAACTATGTAGACCAGGCTGGCCTTGAACTCACAGAGACCTGCCTGCCTCTGCCTCCCGAGTGCTGTGATTAAAGGCGTGCGCCATGCCCGCAGGAAGGTGCTTTTAAAAAAGTATTTTATTTATTATTTTTATTTTTTATGTGTATGAGTATATTGCCTGCATATGTGTAAGTGCAGTACAGTGCCCGCGGAGGTCAGAAGAAGGTGTCAGATCTCCTGGAACTGGAGTTACGGACAGTTGTTATCTGCCATGTGGGTCCTCTGTAAGAACAGTCACTGAGCCGTCTCTCCATCCCAAGGAAGGTGTCTTAAAATGAGAAAAACTCACACTGTTGGTAAATTCACAAAAGTTGAATTTATCAATCTTTTCTACCATGGTTAATATAATTTTTGGATTATTGCTTGTCTTAATAAATTTAAGATCACAAAAGTAAAAAAAAATTGTAATATGTTAAAATGGTGTGACATAGCATTTTGTTACTTTAAAACACTTTGACTTTTTTCTCCTCATAGTTTATTAGTTTGGGGACCTGTGTTCCAGTGTGTTCCAAACATTCTACTGAAGCTTTTTAAAAATCACTTTGTGGAAAAGCCTATTTCATGTGGATGAAAGACTGCATTAATGTTGTTTTATCAGGATTCTGCATAATCTGGATAGCCTAAGACAAGCTGAGCAAGGGGAGGCTCTGGGTAGAAGCCACTGCGTCCCCCGGTGCAGGTGTCAGGATGTCCTCAAACCAAAGCACTCTCAGTTACCCACTGTAGCTGGGAGGTGAGACCAGTCCTGTGCAGTCTGTCTTCTAAGCAGAAACCACTTGTCATATCCAAACCTCAGCCTAAAACACTCTTCTTGACTGGGAGGCCTATGGAGATGCGGTGAAGGGGGAGATGGGGGTGAAGCTGTTATTGGACCCATGAAAAATGGGACATCCCAGGGTCACCAGTGCTGGGAGCGTTACTCTGTGTTGGCATGCAGTCTCTTGAGAGCAGAGGATACACAGCACAGTGCTCAATGTGGCCAAGGGTCACATACCTGAGTTCAGTCTTGTGAATCTCAGCAATTTTCTTTTCCAGCTTCTCTGAATGTTTAGGAAAAAACTGGAATTTGGAGCTGTAGCCTTCAGGATGTTTCCCTGGGTCATAATCCCCAATCTCCGCTTTTCAAAGGAAGGTAAAAGAAAACAATCGTGGAGATAGGTAAATCATTACTGGCAAAGCAACAAGAGATTAACACACAGTGCAGTAGCCAAAGCATGAGACAAATTTACCAAAAGCAGTGGAAGCTGAGTTTGGCTGCAGGATGGCCAGATGGCAGGCCCACAGCGGGGAGAAGGTCCACAAATGGGCAGGCCCACAGGGGGAGCAGGTCCACAAAGGGGCAGGCCCACAGGGGGAGCAGGTCCACCCATGTTTTCCCCATTGTACATGAGTCCACGCTGGGTTGGTATTCAAGTCTGAGAGATAGTAGGGCTGACCTGTGCTCTGAGGTCACCATAAGAAAATTTGCAATAAAAGAGCAGAAACCAGGCGTGGTGGCGCACATCTGCAGTCCCAGCACTTGGGAGGCAGAGGCAGGTGGATCTCTGTGAGTTTAAGGCCAGCCTGATCTACATAGTGAGTTCCAGGACAGCTGGGGCTACAGGGAGACCCTGCTTCAAAAAGACAAAAAAAAAAAAAGAGCAGAAGCTCAGCCATCAGCCACACAGGAGGGCCTGGGAGCAAGGCTCTGAGCAGCAGCAGGAAACAGTGAGCTTGATCAGGAAGACAGAACCTCCTGGGCCCAGGCCAGTCTAAATACCTAATTCTCACCTTCAAGATTTTAGTAGAGACAAGAGAAGCAGCTGAATGAAAGGAATATATTGCATCAGGGGCTCCTCCCAAGCCCATGTGACCCCACGGAACAGATCCTCAAAAGACCATAAGAGTAAAAATAAATTGGTTTATTTGGGTCAACTGTATGGTCTTAAACATCCAAAAGGAAAGTATAACTAAAGAGTAAAGTGATCAGTATATTTCTTTAAGAGTTCAAGGGATTACACTTCCCAGACATTAGACTTAAGTCCATATAAATGTTATTTAGACAATTATTTCTCATTGATGATTTTGTTTCTAATCAGAAAGTGCTGCTCAGATGTAAGACTTCAAATCTTGGTTTGCAATACTGTAGTGCCCACCTGTAGCCAAGGGAGACAACAACCGGCTATTGTTCTAAAATGATGGCTAATTTTTTTTCTCCCCCTGTCTGGAAGCCTTTGCGAGGGAACTAACACTGATTCTAGCCATTCCAACAGCTATCAAAGTGCCTGAAAACAAATCCTGAGTCTATCAGTCTCGAGTCCAGCCTTGTCAGACAAAAGAAAAATGAGGAGGGACCCAATAGAGGGATGATTTTGGAAGCTCTTGTCAAGAAATTCCAATGGACTCTGGTATGAACGTTTGAAATTTGCCCTGTTCTGACCTTTTTCTGATTCCCTGTTTAGAACTTGTAGTGCTAACTACTCTTGCCTTTACTTCTTCTTCACATCTCCTAGGCACAAGTCAAGGACCTTCTTTTCTCCCTATAGTTAAGAGTTATACAATTTGGGAGTCTTTTAGATAAATCACTGAAGGGGTACCCCAATTGCCTCACCCTATATCCCTGTTCAGCATGGAAGAAGCCAGAGCAGTCTGTGTCCCAATTCCCCATAGGCAATTTGGGTAACCTCTTCAGAGGATGGTGTTAGGTAGGACTTGGCTAGGTGGTTATGGTAAAAAGACCCCAAAGAAAAGTAGCTAGTTTCATGGCTAAAAGTCAAAATGTCCTTGGGCCTCTTAGCAACATACTCTGCTCCAAAGGCCAAAAATGTCAAAAGTATTTGGGAGCTCTTATCTAATCCCTAAAAGATTTTAGGGTTACCTCTTCAGAGGGGGGAATGTTAGAGTAGCAAAAAATCCCATTAAAAAAAAAAAAGAGTACATGAAGTTGTCAGGAAAAATTGATTGGGAGCTATGGGAGGAGTTGGAGGGGAGGGAGTGGGCGTGAATTTGATCAAAACACCTTATATGCATGTATGAAATTCTCAATAATTTTTTTTAAACTTAAAAAAATAAAGGACCACATTGCAATGTCCACTGAGGGCTAACCAAGTAGGTGCAGTTTTTTCCAAGAGGCCTGTGACTCTGAAGCCTGGCTGTGACCACAGTGCTACTGAGCTTACTTAGGAGCACCGGATCCTAACGCTACTTTCCCAATGACCCAATGTCCAGGGGTGCCCTTCATAGGGAGCAGGTAGGGTATTGTAAAGGGCAGGAGGAGCTTCCAGCAGCTTCCTGGCTGTCCTTCCTTCCCTGGGAGAGCCACAGCCATGTCAGATGAGGATGGAATAATAGGAGGAAGCACACCTTCCTTCCACAGTTGAACTTGGTACTTTGTCTTATATTTTCCAACACAAATCATGGTGCTTTCCAAGTTATTTAGGGCTGAGGGTGGTGGTGGCCCATGTCTGTAGCCCCAAGTACCGGGGAATCTGAGGCAGGAGGATAATTGTAAAGCCCACAAATTCAAGGCTAGTCTAGACAACTCAGTGAGAACATGTTTCAAAAACAAACAAACAAACCCAAACTCCAGATTACTTGTTTAACAAGAAATAAATGCTTTCCATGAAGAATAAGTAGTCTTGAAGCTTGAAATAATTTACTTTGGTTTTATTTGAAAAGCACCAAGGAAAAATCACTAATGTTGGATAGCAAAACTTTTTTTTTTTTTTTTAAAAAGAGTTATTTTGGGGGCTGGAGAGATGGCTCAGTGGTTAAGAATACTGTTCTTGCAGAGAACTGGGTTCGAATCCCAGCACCCACATGGCAGCTAACAACTGTCTGTAAGTCCACTTCCAGGGGATCCAACAGCTTCTTCTGTCCTCCGCAGGCATTGCACAACACAGGTGCATTTACCTACATGCAGGCAATACACTCATGCACATAAATAAAAAAATATTTTAAAAAGAGTTATTTTATTTATGTATATGTGTGTCTGTGTGTATGTATACCACTTGGGTGGGGGTACCTGCAGAGGCCAGAAGAGGACATTAGAAGTTGGAGTTACAGATAATTGTAAGCTGCCAATATGGGTGCTGGGAAGTAAATGCAGGTCCTTTGGAAGAACCTCAAGCACTATTAACTACTGAGCTATCTCTTCAGCCCCTCAAATACTATATTTTTGGGGGGCTTTTGAGACAGGGTCTCCCTGTAGCTACAGCTAGCCTGGATCTTACTATGTAGACTAGACTGGCCTTGAACTCACAGAGATCTACCTGCCTCTGCCTCCTGAGTGCTAGGATCAAAGGCGTGCGCTACCACTCCTGGCTCAAATGTTTTTTAAAAAGGGCTGGAGGGCTGGGCATGGTGGCGCAGGCCTTTAATCCCAGCACTCCGGAGGCAGAGGCAGGCGGATCTCTGTGAGTTCAAGGCCAGCCTGGTCTCCATGGTGAATCCAGGACAGCTGGTGCTACAGGGAGACCCTGTCTCAAAAAGATGGGGGGAAAAAAAAAAAAAGGGCTGGAGAGATGGCTCAGCAGTTAAGAGCACTTGCTGCTCTTGCAGAGGACCTGGGTTTAGTTCTCAGAACCTGCATAGGAGATCTGATGCCCTCTCTGGCTTCCATGAGCTCCTGCATGCACCCATGGGTGTGTATAAACTCACATAGGCACATAGACACATACACATAAAAATAAATATTAAAAAAGAAGAGTTTGATATGATTATCAGGGTGGAACTGAAGAAAAGGCTAGACTTTAATACTGCACCTAGATCAGTCAGGTTTTCTCTTTAAAAAAGAAGGAGACATCTTGGGGTACCTTAAAATGAGCAAGCATCTGCTAGATTTCCTATTTAGCTGGTATTTACAATAAAAGTCTCAAGTTGGACATGATGGCACATGCCAGCACTCGGGAGGCAGAGGCAGGTGGATCTCTGTGAGTTCAAGGCCAGCTTGGTCTACATAGTGAGTTCCAGGCCAGATGGGCTACAGAGATGGGGTAACTGTTCCACTCTTAATACTGTTGTGATAGTTCTCCTGTCAACAAACACTTTCTAGTTTCTCCTTGAGTTGCTGAGAGTTCCAAGATTTGTAATCAAGAGTTCCTATTTTTTTTTTTTTTTTTGGTCTTTTTGAGACAGGGTCTCCCTGTAGCCCCAGCTGTCCTGGAACTCACTATGTAGACCAGGCTGGCCTTGAGCTCACAGAGATCCGCCTGCCTCTGCCTCCCGAGTGCTGGGATTAAAGGTGTGAGCCACCATGCCCGGCCAAGAATTCCTATTTTTTAAAGGAAATTTCATGATTTTAATGTTATGGTCCAAAAACGATCCTGTTGCTAATGACAGTCTCAGGCCCAAGGACTAAGACACCCTAGGAAGTAGCACTTGAATGTCCTCAGCATCCCATGGGAGAAGGGGCCTTAAGAGAATCACAGATCACCCTAGCCAGTCTGGGAACCAGCTGCATGAAGCTCAACTCTTCCTTATGAGCATGTCAAGAAATGGCTTCTCACTTGGAAATACTTGCAATATTGAGCATCCTCAGCCAAGAGGTCTCCAGAATAGATGCCATAATTCCACAAATGCCTCACATCTCAGAGATTTGCATAAGAGGATAGGAACAAATAATTGGGATTACTCTCCAGAATCTCAGAAACCTTATCAAGCAAAGATGCAGGGTAAGTCAAACAGTCAAAATGACTTGAGGGTCCTGGCAGTAAGGCCCTGGGTACAGGATTGGATTGGGTATTCTGGGCTTTCTGGCTGTGGGCAACCTTGAAAAAATTCTCCAACTTGGACTCTGCTTCAAGTTAGATACTGCTTAGATCCAAGAAGTAGTCGTCTGTAGTAACTGGAATAATGTAATCAGTATTTAGCACAAGAAGCAAATTTATCCTGTCCAGAGTCATTACCTTGAAGGATATAAGCTGCTAACAAGGCAGCATCTGACGTTTTACAGAGGAGGCGGCCATGGTAGAGATCCCTTTTGATCTGAAGGAAGACTAAGTACCTGCAGAGAAAACAGAATGAACTAGAAAGAATTTCTTTGATTGCTTTAAAGACATAAATATGCAATATAAGCATATCAAAAATCTTTGTCAGTACATTTTAAGAACATTAAGAACATTAAAAAATTCTCATACCACAGAACAAATACATTTTCCATTTCCCTGCAACACTCTCTCAAGTACTTTGAACTAATCATTGTTTAAGGTTCAAGTCAAAACACCTGTCAGTTTGCTCCAAAACTCAACATAGATATAGCACTTCCTAGTAAAAGCACAGTCCCCCCTCCACACCCAGGTGCTGGGATCTGGAGCAAGTCAGCCCCAACCAAAACAATGAAGGAAACTGCCATCAGAAATGGGCAAACTGGGCCTCCCTTTGCCTCAGGGGTGGAACAGTGGGTTAAGGGACAAGGTCAAAGAAGAGGTCAGCCTGGGCTTGTCAGGAGAATCTGTCCCTCTGAAGATGACTGACAGATCAACCAGATCTCTCCAAATCTGAATAAAATGTGAGAAGTTGGGGGCTGGTGAGATGGTTCAGTGGCTGGGAACACATTGCTCTTGCAGAGGACCTAAGTTCAGTTCCCAGCACTCATGTCCTAGGGTTCCAGGGGTCTGACACCCTCTTTTGGTTTCTATGGGCACCTGCACTCACCTGTACACACACACACACACACACACACACACACACACACACACA